AATGGCTGTTTTTATCACAATAATGAAAAAAAACAAAACTGCCTGCTCTTTTATTTATACACATAGTACAAACTTCTTATCCTCGGTGATGTAACGCATCAGATTTTTTTCTTTCATTCATAAAGACTGAAAAATAAAATTGACAAAGATTATTGTTTAAGGGTTGACGGAACACTAAAATTAGTTTTTTTTTGTTTTTTTTTTTCCACAACAAACACAAACACAAACAAAATATATTATATATATATATATATATATATTGAATATAATTTTAATAAAACAATTGTCTTTAAATGGAATTTCAAAACCTGATCTGAAATGTAAAAATGAAAAAAAAAGGTTAGGAAACATTATGTTGCACCATTGCCTAAAAAAAAAAAAAAAAATAATAAGCCTTTTTTTATTCTGTGAAATGTTGAAAAATGGAATGGGAGATTAAGAACACACCACAACCTTTGTGAGTTTTAATGGATATAAATAATTTTTTACTCTTTACCATCCTCCCAGACTCATTCGATCATCCATGTGTTTCAAATTGATTAAATTCAAAACAATTCACTGTTTTTCCCATTTTCAGCTTTCAGAATTCCTACAGGTAATTTTCACCTCCTTTTGTTCTGAAATTTTTCAAGAATTTGGTAAAAAAATTGTATGTCTTCTTGTCAATTTAAACATACAGACACACACACACACATATCCCCCATTTATGATTAAAACAGTCCTGATAATTTATTCTCAAGTTATAGAAAATGAATTATTTTTTATCTTTATTAAAAATTCTTCAAAACTCATATTTCTGATATATCTTTTAGGTTTTTAATATTTTGGCATTTTATATATTTAAGAATCAAAATTCAACATTGCATTCTTTCATGTGATAAGTACTGACACTTACAATTAGATTCATAGCTTTCACCGATTTTTGAGTATTTAGTTTTAAAAATCGTCGAAAAAATGTAAAGAAGTACCTAATTTATGCGGGTTTTTGCTTACAGACTTCAAAATATTACTATTTCAAGAATAATTCCAAATATATTCTGTGTTAGATACATTGAATAGAAAATATATTCTAATAATGAATCACAATAAACAAAATATGCAATTTTTTTTTTAACGTATTTGATAAGAAAAAATTGTAAAAGATTACAAAATGGCTATTCAATGAATAAAATTTGTTAGATCATAATTAATAAAATCAAAAAGATAGATAAAATTATATATAACGCCATAATACAGCTGGGCACAAAATATAAGATAAAACATTTTAAATTTGCATTGTTTATTGAAAATTACACTAAAACTACTGCACTGTATTACATATTACATCATAATATAACAAAATTGTTCAGTATAATACCCCTTTGAAGTAAATGATGGTCTTATTTGATAGCAAAATTATTTAGTAATAACGTGCTTGTGCCATGTATATTGTCCATGTACAATTTGTAAAGCTTCAGTAAATTATAAATTTTATAAGGCTGTCCTCTAAGGCTTTTACTGATCATTGGAATGATTTTCCAACACTATGATTTTGAACCTAAACTTAATCTTTAAACTTGTTTTCCTCAAAAAAACAATTTCGAAAAAATATTTTGTGCTATTATTTATCATGTGAAACCCCAATTTTCAAATTGAGTGCAATACCATGGTTCCAAAATCAACCTGCCCTAATATCCATATATTTGCAAAAAATGAACAGAAAAACTGATACAATTTAAAGTAGGAAGGGAAAGAAAGAAAAAAAAAAAAAAAAGGAGAAAGGGGTGGGGGTAGGACGATGATAGTATTTCTCTTGCTTTAAATTCAGTACGTTGCATTTTGTCTCAACTTATTGCTTAGTCACCTCCCTTAAATGTTGCAGGGGAAATCAAATTTCTAAGCTTCATTTTATGTAAATGCTGTTTGGTGTACTTATTTAGTAGTTTCTATTAAGTAGTGCAGACTTGGATTCAATGGAAATGGGGCGATCAATAACTGAGCAGTACTAAGTAAGAACTAGAAGAGATATTCCTAGGCATGAGAACAATCTACCCATATAGATTAAATAAAGTTAAGTTTGTAATTCCATGAAGGTTATTTGAGGTTTGAAATTCCCTGATGAAGGCTTGAAGGCATAATGGTTGAAATGTTGTGATAACAACAACAAAAATGAGGATAATAGTATGCATGTAAATAATGTAAGCAGTTATTCCTTTTACTCCAGTACCTAGGATTTGAATTCAATTTACTTGGAGTAAATTAGCCTCAAGTCTATCTCATGAAATAATAAACCAGTTTTTTTGATTCAAGTTGAACTCAAAGTGAACATTATTTCTAGTGTAAGCAAAACGATTTAGAGAGAAAAACAAAAGCAGCAGCAGCAGAAAGTAAACATTTTCCACAAATGTTCAATAGAGTCTCAGAGTCCTTGTAGGTAACAAATTATTTGCCATCTTCCAACCCCTCTCCCATAGGGGGAATGTGGCAAGCCTCTTATTGCTCTATCACTACTTCCATGGAAAGTGCTCAGATGAACTTAACATTTAATTTGATTTTTTCAATTTTGTTCAATAATGGCTTCTTTTGAACGAGAGTTTTTCACAATTTTTTTAAATCAAGTTGAAATTAGTTCTGTTACCCAAATACATTCTTTGGTTCCTTCATGGCTAGAACCTGCCATGCCACCCACCTTTTAACAACCCCTCCCTCACATCCCCTCCATATTGGCGAGAAGTTCTACCTGAACAGCTTCATTCTGCAAACCACTGCTTTGTAGAATAGATTCCTAAGAGGATGTTTCCCTGATCACTACAATCTTAACCTGCTGAGGTCTAGAGTTAAGCGTTATCTTCCCCTCTTATCTGTATAAGCTACTCCTTAACATAACCCTCTATCTCAAGCCCCCCCACACACACCTCAGGTCTTGTACAGGGCAAAATTTGCTGTAAAAAATACCATATAGCCATCCTACCATCAGAGAAAAGTTGTCAAAAGTTCTTATTGCTTTCAAATTTCTGTATAAAAACATTTTCAGCAAGACATCTATTTTCTAAAAATATTTTTTTAATTACACTAAGTATACTTGAATTTCCTACTGTGGACATCAAGAGCTGACCATGACAGAAACATCTGAATAATTTCCCAATATTTATATTATTAATTCAACTTACTATTTTTTCATTTGTTCAAATAATTCAGTACAGTTTTTTGAAAATCTAATTAAAAAGATTATTATGACTTTAGATAATTCTATAAAATTTTGTTTTAGCTCCATTTCACTAATTTGTAGTGATGTTAAATAGCAGATGACAACAACGTTTACTATGTATGCTGTAGATTTTCTAAGTTACAACTGAATTTTGACAAGGCAAATAAAATCTTTCTATACAAATAATGAATAATAAAAGAAAAACTGACAGAAACATTGCTTAAACATGAAAATTTTTAAGATTTGAATGAAAAATAAACACCACAGATGAAATATTAAAATATACATTGAAAAATTGTTAAACAAATTAAATATTACTGCTTATGTTGTAAACACCAGCTGTTAGTAATATATATAAAAACTGGGTTAGGTTGTTTAGCTTTATGGATGAAAGACAAAATTTAACCTTATGCAAATTTCTAAAAGATAAGTGATAATAAAAAAATCTTACTTCCAAGTAAGAATTCCAGACGACAATAAAGAGATAAGAATTCCAGACGACAATAAAGAGATAAAAGACGACAATAAAAGAGATAAAATTCAGACGACAATAAAGAGATAAAAAAAGATAAGAATTCCAGACGACAATAAAGAGATAAGAATTCCAGACCAATAAAGAGATAAGACGACAATAAAGAGATAAGAATTCAGACGACAATAAAGAGATAAGAATTCCAGACGACAATAAAGACGACAATAAAGAATTCCAGACGACAATAAAGAGATAAGAATTCCAGACGACAATAAAGAGATAAGAATTCCAGACGACAATAAAGAGATAAGAATTCCAGACGACAATAAAGAGATAAGAATTCCAGACGACAATAAAGAGATAAGAATTCCAGACGACAATAAAGAGATAAAATTCAGACGACAATAAAGAATAAAAAGACGACAATAAAGATAAGAATTCAGACGACAATAAAGAGATAAAATTCCAGACGACAATAAAGAGATAAGAATTCCAGACGACAATAAAGAGATAAGAATTCCAGACGACAATAAAGAGATAAGAATTCCAGAAGAGAGATTAAATTGACAGGATTCATAAAAAGTGCAAAATCAACATTTCAATTTGTGCTTTAAAGTGTAGTGACTATTTTAAGTAGTGACAAGTGACCCTAGTATGTTTTTGACACTATCATATTTATTTTTGCAGTCTTCTTTGGGTAATGTGTGCATCATGTCACCTGCATTTAATGGTCTTTGTTGTATCATGCCTCATTTAAAAAAAAAAAAAAGAAAAGCTTTTACCATAATGGTATAATCTCAGAATTTGAGATAAACCTATGGGTCATGGTGGCTAGTATTCACAGACTTTTTTTTTTTTAAAAATAAATATCCCTAAATAGGCAACCCAAAGTAAAGTATTGCACATATTGGAAAATGTGGCATTTTCCCCATTTTAATAATCAAGAAAAGTCCTAAGCAATTTTTGAAAGATCACATCTAAGGAAGATAGGAGAATATATTGGTTGAAACACTATATTAAAATAAAATAGAGCCCTAAAATGTGAAGTAATGAAAATACTTCATCTCAGAACTCCAGGCAATATAAGAAGGCTAAAGAATAAAATTTCCCAGGATAAAAAAAATCGTTTGATTAAAATCTACAAAAGTGAAAATAGTTTATATATTAGAATTTAATACAAGCCACAGAATACATATGCCAAGATATGTTAAAAACAACAAACGAAGAAACTAGAGCCTGAAAATATGTGAAATAATGAAAGTTCTTGTGAGAACTTGAGAAATGCAAGTAGCCTTGCTTGCCGAGATATGTACATCAAAAGAGTAAGTATACAATTCTCACCTGTTGGGTATCTCAATGTTTATAATACACGTCTCCTTCATTTCGCCACGTTCATCTGTACAAGCAGCCAGCAGCCAACGCTGGTCTTCACTCAAGCAGTAGCCACAAAATACAATGGTGCTCTTCTCCAATTTCTCACCACAAGATTCCGCTAGCGTTGATTGTTTGTCTTTCACCGGTGCCAGGATGAAAGGTGGACAGTACAATTTCAGCGGTCCAGCCTTGTCTGCCTGCAGTGCAAATAATGAAGCAATAAGAGAATCATATTGATAAAAATTCTATAGACATGCCAACTCTTAAAAACTATAATTGACCCCCAAAAAGGTCACAAGTTGGAAGCCAGCATTTAATACAAAATTAATCAAACCATAACCAACCTTGATTACTCATGTATAAATATCAAATGTAATTGTTTTGTGTGTAAGAACAACCTGAGTAAAATTGATTATACAAAATTATACTGGTGTGCTTAGAAGAAAAAAAATTATAGGCAACAAGAAGCATTTTGTCAACACTTATACCAAAGCAAATATTCAACATTGTCTTGAAGGACTAATGTAAAGAACAAAGATGGTTAAGCAACAGAAGAATCAACATCTTTATAATTCAAACAGTTGCATTATTATGAATTGCCAATCTGTTTAAGACAAGAATTAGAATTTAATACTATAGAATACATCTGTTGTGCTAAACAATTCTTCTCTCCAGAATCTATCTAGCATATTTACAAGTCTACTCAGCTTTGAATATTGCTGCCACATCTGGTCTGGTGCTTTTGATATCTATTGCTAAGATTCTAGAAAAAATCTACAATATTACTAGTCTTTACCTGGCATCTTGGCTCCAGTCAATTTCTTGCCAGTTTTATGTAGCTTCTCTGTGCCTTTTCTATAAATACTTTCATGGTGTTTGTTCTGATTTGTTTATCATCTTTTTTCCTGGACTTTATTCCAGCAGGTATACATTAATGTATTTTGTCAGTTTGTTGACTCTTGTGACCCCAGTTTTTATAGTGATGGAGAAAATTATTTCTCTAGTTCATTTGCGTCATTGTCTTGATTCTAATGGTGCTTACTTTGGCTCCAAGACATTATATATTAGCGCTGAGGTTTGATGTTTTGAAGTTTAAGCTGTCCACATTTTATTTCAACCAGGTAGTAATATGAAAAAGTTGTTGCTTCTATTGTCAACCATGAAAAGAATTAAATCATTAAACCCTAACTACATATAATGGATAAAAATAAAAAATTACGTTTTCTCTGGTAAAGTTAAAAATTTAAGCACAGAAAATAAAACTACAGTTGAAAAAGAAATGAATGACATTTTAAATGCCACAAAAAAGAAAAGACATTTTAAATACAACAAAAAATAAATGACATTTTAAATGCCACAAAAAAATATAAAAAAATAAAAATACGACAAACTGAATTTATCAGGTTTGTAAAAAAAAATGTTTTTATCCAATTCCTCTGCACTTGATTTGCAGAATACTTATTAATTTCAATTTATGATGAAAGCATGTTATGAAATTTTAAAATAGTAATTAATACACTACCTAACATTGAATATACAAAAAAGATTTTTATTCCTGTCTTTATAGATAAGTCAATTGTAGTAAAAGAACATGTCCAGGTTCCATAGAGAAAGAATTGCTTGGAAGCATTGTTACTGAAAAAACAAGACTGTACATGTAACTGTGTGTGAACAAGTAAGATTTAACAAAGACCAGTACTATTTCATCATTGCAGTAGTACTAGTATGTAGACCTAAAAAAAAAAAAAAAAGAGAAAAATATATATTTATATGAAAACATTATTTGGCTTGAGAAAATCCAGATATAAATAGAAAAATGAAAACTAAACTATCAAGTTTTGATAGGATAAAGACAGCTTTCTTATTTAATCAAGTGTGACAAGTGAACGAGGATTCGTATGAAAACTGGATTCATAGCTTGCATTGAAATCTCAACCATCTTCAAATAAAAATAACATTGGAAAACCTAACTCACATATATGTCATAATTTGGTCTTATTAGTATCGCTAAGTCATTTAATTAAATGCAGTAAGAAGAAAGAAAAATGACATTTTGGTTGGTTATTATTGATTTAATCTCTACTGGTTTAGTAAATCAATCAGATGGACAGATTCTGTTGAGAACGACATTTTAAAGTAGAGGTATGGTTATCTATTTATCACTGTAGGTAAAATTGTAAATTTTTAAAATTATAATAGAAATAAACAATAAGTTATCAAATATGTATTGGGATGTCCCAAAAGTTTGCTTTGGTTTTGCCATGAGAAAAGCATTGTGTTTTTGATGACTGTTACCGTACAGCCAAAATCTATCATTTTTTTTTTTTTTTTTTTAAAAAGTGAAATGAAGGATCAGTTTTGACTGTATTGTGACAGATTTTTTATTTGTTTTTTTTCCACTCACCCCATTTATTGCAAACCTCCTCTTATTAAACCCAAAAGTACTTGTATATTGCATAGTTGCATTTAACCCTTCATACTCTAGAAATAAATTTTGGAATGGAATTTAATGGTCTTCTTAAATGTAGTTAATGGTGCAGATACTCAGGTTTTGTCAATGTCAGGAATCCTTGCTCCTTTTTTTTTTTTTATAAAAAAAAAAAAAAATAAATAAATGGTAAGACATTGTATATATGCATACCTCTAGGATAACAAAGCAACAGAAATAATGAGCAGAATTGAATTTTGAAAAAAAAAAAAAAGTAGTGAAAAACAGTTTTAAAAACGTAGGATTTAGTTGGACAAACAGACTAGTATTTGCCTGAGTTGCAAGTTGAGTTTGCACTTACAACTCCTTGGGATTGGTGAGTGGTTTATATAACAGGCTGGGATGTTCCATTATGTTGCATGGGCAAGCCTATTCTCTAAGTTCTGATTGGCTGTTACAGCCCGCTTTCTTCTTATCCGCCAACTGGACGCTAGTTTGTAACTTCCTTGTGAGGGAGAGTATCATATTTTTATTCTACACCTACCTGCCAAAGATGAAATGGTTCACTTACCTCTTTTTGTTTGAGGAAGAGTTCAGCTTCTGCAGCAGGCCCAAAGCCTGTGAGTGAGCGTCCTAAGACAGTGTGCATCAAATTCCATCGGCAGGCCGTAAACACAGAAAAAGCCAAAGACTTGAGCATCTGATATTGAGAGCCACTTTCCTTCTGATCTATCACAGTCTCTAAGGGGATGATCTATACAGACAGGAAATTAAAAGAAATATAAGGAAAAAAAAAAAACATTACATTTACAAGAAAATTTCATTGAATGACTTATGTTTTTTTTTTTTTTTTTGCTTGAAACAAAAAGCAAAAGTTAAGAGTTTGTATCAGTTTTATATAAACAGACAAAAACCAATTGTCTGTAGATGGGAAGAGATTATTTTTTTCAGTTACAAAACCACAATAGTAACTACCAATTGTTATGATCATAATGTAAATAGTATAAACATCTATGTATGGCATAAATAAATATATACATAATATAGATATATTAATCAAAATAATAGATTTCTCACAGCTATTTTCCCCAGGCGCATGATAATGCATCGTACTTTTTGTCTTTGTTTACTAATGAAAGGCCTGTCTTCAAGTGGTTACTTTGAGAACTAATTCCGCTAAGCCTGCAAATTTTTAAATACATCGCTGATGATTTGGAAGTTTTTTTTTCCCTGCAGATTCTGTCCATTGCATCCACAGTCTGTTGATGGGGTATCCGTAGATGAGAGGTTTGTCTGAATATCTTGTAACAGAAAGAGTACTTTTTGATTGATAAATTTTCTATGGATTATCAACCCATTGCAGGTTATTTAAAGCCAGAAAATACATTTAGATGGTAAGAATTATTTTTTTTTTTTGAGATAATGGTTTAGTGATGTAAGTCTTACTAATTATTTAACCCACATCTGAAGGGAGAAGAGGGGAGATTCATATCTTTCCCAAGGATATTTTCATGCAAGTCAATATAACAAACCCAACTGAAATTGGATTTTGGTTCTCCAATTAACAATTCCAAGCCATAATCCACTCACACATCCAAGCTTACAGCACCTGGTATTCCCAAGTAGTCACCCATCTAGGTACTAACCAGGCTCAACATTGCTCAAGTTCAGTGATTTTTACTGGAACTGGTATTTCAACTTGATATGGCCTTAAGCACATTACACCAACCACACATCCAAGCTTACAGCACCTGGAATTGCCAAACGGTCACCCATCTAATTACTGACCAGGCTCAATGTTGCTTAACTTTGGTGACTGTACGAGAATCGGTGTTTCAACATGATATGTCCATAGGCATATTACACCACATGCACATCCAAACTTACAGCACCTGGTATTCCTAAGCAGTTACCCATCTAGTTACTGGGCAGGCTTGACATTGCTTCTATACATGATCGTATGTCTCAGTTGGGTGAGATCATTCTAACCATTTGTTTTAATCCTGGGTAATGGAATAAATATCACAAAGTATTGTTTGTAAATGATATCTTAATACAGTGGTTCTCAAACTGCGGTGAAAAAGGATAGCAGGTGAGGCAGAATGATTGAAAGACAATCAAAGATTTAGAAATAGTTTTAAAAAATTCATATGCCAAAAATAAATAGGATTTCAAAATTTAAAATATCATCATGGATTACTTGTAATTGCATGTATGTGTCCCAGTATAAATAGTTATAAATAATTACTGACCAATTTTATCATTGTGATATTTTTGCATTATATCAAGTATTAAGAATAGAGTAGCTAGGGTCTGTAAATTGGGGGAGAGAGTTATCAATGATAATGTTCTGACTTCGAATCCACGGTTATCTCCTGCTCTGATTTTTATTTTTAAATGTACTTTTTATCACATAAAATTTGGTGAGGCACAAGCAAATTTTCATTCTGAAAATGTGATCCAGAGAAAAAAGTTTGGGAACCACTGTCTTTATAGATAGCCTTGTTGAAGCTTCTATTCTGTTCTATGTTAGCCTTTATTATTATTGCTCAGATCGAGTGTATCTACCAAATTTGACATATACTGAAATAAATTTGGTACATGAAAGATTTAGACATTATATGCAACAGGAATGGACATGTTGGGAGAATTAAGAAAGAGTTTGGTTTATTTTTGAGTAAAGAATCTTCAGTTTTTGAATGAATTTGAATGAAATCAATGATAAAAAAAAAAAAAAAAAGAAAAGAGAATTAGCAACATACTTGGAGGCTAACATGATTTTGCATTTGTTCAGGCAAGGTTTTCACAAGTTCTTGATAGCAATGTAGAAGTCCAATCATGGCAAGTCTATTGAGATGATCCCATTCTTGAGAATAAGTGAATGGGTCAACCATGTATACAACGAGGGCAGGGCACTCAGCAGTGCTGTCCTCAGATTCCTGTGATTGCTCATGCAGACCACCTTCACGTTGTGCATTGCCATCACCACCAGCCCCATCTGCAGATTTGGAGAGAGAGAGAGAAAAAAAAGTAAATCAATATAAAAAAATTTACAAACAAATTAGTTACAAAATCATTATTCTAGCAATTGTTATAAGGTTTTTCTGAATAAATTTGAATTTAATAACCTTTCTGAGTGGCCTGCTAGATTATTGATTGATTGATTTGGTTTTACAGATTATCAACCCTTTAGAGTTTATTTAAAACAGAAACATTTTTGATTGTAAGAATTATTCTTTTATGCAAGTGAATATTAAAGACAATTCCCCCCACCCTCACCCCAATAAAAGTACTACTGATCATTTTCCCGATACAAGCACTAGCAATCAGTTTTCCCAGATTCAAGTACTACTGAACATTTTTCTTCTTCTCAGATTCAAGTACTACTGAACATTTTTTCTTCTTCTCAGATTCAAGTACTACTGAACATTTTTTCTTCTTCTCAGATTCAAGTACTACTGAACATTTTTCTTCTTCTCAGATTCAAGTACTACTGAACATTTTTCTTCTTCTCAGATTCAAGTACTACTGAACATTTTTCTTCTTCTCAGATTCAAGTACTACTGAACATTTTTCTTCTTCTCAGATTCAAGTACTACTGAATATTTTTTCTTCTTCTCAGATTCAAGTACTACTGAACATTTTTCTTCTTCTCAGATTCAAGTACTACTGAACATTTTCTTCTTCTCAGATTCAAGTACTACTGAACATTTTTTCTTCTTCTCAGATTCAAGTACTACTGAACATTTTTTCTTCTTCTCAGATTCAAGTACTACTGAACATTTTTCTTCTTCTCAGATTCAAGTACTACTGAACATTTTTCTTCTTCTCAGATTCAAGTACTACTGAACATTTTTCTTCTTCTCAGATTCAAGTACTACTGAACATTTTTTTTCTTCTCAGATTCAAGTACTACTGAACATTTTCTTCTTCTCAGATTCAAGTACTACTGAACATTTTCTTCTTCTCAGATTCAAGTACTACTGAACATTTTTCTTCTTCTCAGATTCAAGTACTACTGAACATTTTTCTTCTTCTCAGATTCAAGTACTACTGAACATTTTTCTTCTTCTCAGATTCAAGTACTACTGAACATTTTTCTTCTTCTCAGATTCAAGTACTACTGAACATTTTTTCTTCTTCTCAGATTCAAGTACTACTGAACATTTTTCTTCTTCTCAGATTCAAGTACTACTGAACATTTTTCTTCTTCTCAGATTCAAGTACTACTGAACATTTTTTCTTCTTCTCAGATTCAAGTACTACTGAACATTTTTCTTCTTCTCAGATTCAAGTACTACTGAACATTTTTCTTCTTCTCAGATTCAAGTACTACTGAACATTTTCTTCTTCTCAGATTCAAGTACTACTGAACATTTTTTCTTCTTCTCAGATTCAAGTACTACTGAACATTTTTCTTCTTCTCAGATTCAAGTACTACTGAACATTTTTCTTCTTCTCAGATTCAAGTACTACCGAACATTTTCCCCAGATAAAAGTACTACTAATTCATAGCTAGCAGAGAAGAGACAGATTCATACTTTTCCTAAGGGTATTTTGCACATAAGTGAATGCAACAAACTCAGTTGGAATTTGAACTTGGCTCTGCAATTTCTCATTCTGAGTCACTATCCATTACTCTACTCATATATCTGATTTTAAGAAATCAGACAAACTTTAGCCCCAAATGGTTCTGTCTATCCACAAGGCATGGGTTAACCTGTAGTATGGTTTTTGGGCACTTGCCAAAAGTGCCACATGCTGTGATTGCCTCCCTTCAGATCAATAACAGCAAGAAGTCACCTTCCTGATAAATTGAACATGGTGAGATTCGAACCCGGGTCTTGTGGTCAGAAAGCAAATGTTCTAATCACTTGGCCACATGCCGAGAAAACCTTCAGATACAAGACCAATAACCAACAACAATAATTAGTACAAGTAAGTTTCTAAAACCTGTAAGTGCAATATCATTGTTTTTTTTCTGCTACCATTAAGTACTCACCTTTGTTAGCTTCATCTGAATTGTTATTGGCACTCTGGCTGGAAGTTGTGTTAGCAGTTCCACTGCTTGAAGTACCACTGCTGCTTGTAGTACTACCACTGGTCATTGGTGCCTGCTGCTGTTGTGGTTGTTGGGGCTGAGTGGCAGGCTGTGATCCCCCTTGCGTAGATGAAAGGTTACCACTTACTGAATTTGTTGTTGAATTGGACTGATTCTCAGGGGTGGCAGGGGCCTGAGAAATATCCGATGGACGAGGTGTGCTGTGCCCACTTTTGCTAGAACATGCCTCAAACAAAGATTTATCTAAAGTTTGTTGAGCAAGATGTGGACCTACAACAAAGAAAATGCAATATTAAGAAATCACCCTAATGAGAACCAAAATATTTGTTTTAAATACAAATTTTAACAGAACTTGTAACAAAGCAAGTAAATATTAATAAATTAGCAAAACTATCATTTTCTTTACGACTTTTCAGTAGTGTTTTCTTGATGTTTATTGTTTAGTAGCTGAAGTACTTGCCTAAAGCCAGATAAAATGTAATACACTTGATTCATAACTTGCTATAATGACAATAAATATTAATCATTGTAGTATTGGGGGGGGGGTTGAGGCAGGGCTGGGATTAATTCACACAAAGCAGGGTGGGGTTCTGTCTGACAGAGGGTCTCAGTTCACCCCCAATGTACCGAGTCTTGTCATAATAATTTGAGACAAGGTTTTACAAGGCCTGATGCCCAACTCAGACACTCATAGTAATCCAAATACATAGAGTGTTTTTTTTTATCGAGACACTATCTCTAGGAAGGTTATCATTCAAGGTTTGAGACCCCATCCTAGCCTTACACAAACTTTGTGTATGTGCGTGTGTTGGCTCCTATAAAAAGTTCATCTGCCCTTTGACAGGTCTTGTTTTTTGTCCCGCAGATTAATATGCAACTCTCTTTATCAGCAGAAAATCAAGTCAGGTAGTTGGTTTAGATGCTAACCACCCATCCATGTGGCAGGCTGTACTGGGTTACATGTTACCAGTAGCAGGCCTAAGCCTGACCTGACCTCAATGAGATGCATATCTAATTAAAAATTGTTTTTCTCTACACTCATACTCCTGGTAAGTTTTCAATGACAAAATACTATAAAAAGCAGAAACGTATTTTTGTGAAATTGCTTTTCAAAGAATTTTCTAGTTCAGATATTAATAATTAGATTTAAATTATAGTATTACTATGAATAGCTAGAAACTATAATTATAACTATAAAAATATGCCAGTAAAATAAAAAAAGATATAAAAACCTCTCCCATGACAAATTTCTTTCTTTTTTTTTTTATATTAAAATCTTTCCTGGTATGTATGCAGGACAAATTTGAGAACTCGATATAAAACAGTTTATCTATTTCCCTATATAGAGCCAAACAAATGCATCCAAATTATATAAAGTGCATAAAGTTACTTTATCATAATACTATTCTCAAGGACACAATGCACAGTGGATAAAGACGTTAGTTAGATTCAGTAACAGGACTCAAAGACTGTGAGTTCAATACCCGGTTAAGGCAGTGGCGAACTTGGAGAAGGGAATTAACAGGCGATAACTGATATCCATTAAACATGGCACGTGGAACTAGAACAGTCTACCCCAGTGAGCGAAATAAAGGGTTCAGTTTGACATTCCAACCACCTGAAGAAGGCCGCAGTGTTGTAATAATTATGGCGACAAAGAAGAGGACAATAGTCCGAATAATGTAAATAATGTACATAATACCTCATCTCAGAAATATAGACAGATACTATGAAATAAAAATAAAAATGTTAAAGCTAATAAAGAATATATTAATTTAAAAAATTGTGTTTGTTGTTTTGTATTCCACATATCAAGAGCAATTCTCCCTGACTGCAAAAAAGCTGGTGTTATATAGCTCAGTCCCAGACCCATGCTGGCTATTGGCTAATACCTGCCCAGTATTATTTTATGCAAATTTTGTCAGCGCCACCTACACTAAGTAGAATATCCTCTCTCAACAACCAATTATGGAAGAGGACATAAGTCCTGGTGTTTACTGCACCATATAAAACCAACCCTGGGTCTCTTGTTGGGTTGACTAGATTCTCCATTACAAAAATTAAAACTTAAGCTGAAAAACAACTGTGCTTAAGTGGAAATATAATTGTATTTATTATGGTAAAGTAACCTTTGGGCCATCTTGTATATATAGCAATCCACAAGTTGTTTGGACTAATATTCTCATTGTTACTGGTTTTATTATTCTGAATAATGCATTCCTCAATTATATAAATCACTTCTTATTACATCTTTGTTTTTAAAATTTAGAGGATTTGTATAATAAAGAATTTTAAAAAGTAAAAAAATTTTTTTATTACTATTGAGATAAATTTGTTTGCTCGATATATACTATGTCTATCAAACGTAATTTCATTTTTCACGAAAAGCAAAGAAAAGGCTTTTTAATAAACAAGAGTACTTACCTAAATGATAGCGACAGATTTTGGCATATAACCTCAATTTGGCTGCTACAGGAGATTCACCTGTGAAAGGGAGATTACTCTTATAAAGGTAACAAGATAATGGAAGCATGTCATATAATGGTAAACAAGGAGTAATTCCCAAATCAGATAAAATTTCTTTCAATGTAAAATAAAAAAAAAAGAAAGAAAAAGATTCATTTACACACAAAAAGGTCTTATGAAAATTTTAAAAACAAATTTGTCAATCAATTCAAGAGAAAAGAAATCTATTTATGATTGAAATATGAAATATTTGTTGATTAAATGTCTATTAGATGTTTAACTTAAAATGCTGTCTATTCATTGTACAAGATGTCTAATCAATGACTCAACTCATGAGCATCTTGATTCTCATCATGCACCTTACACGAGTAGCCTGTTAAATAAAGACATCTTTTAAAAAACAGTGGTTCAATGTAGATTCTTACAAATGATATTATCTGATAATTAAAGAGTCAATGAATGAAATACTTTGTAATCATTCCACAAGGAGGAATGATTACAAAAATAAACTGAATATTTAAAGTGAAAAAGTTTTAGCAAAAACACCATAGATTTTAATACAAGAGGTGCATTCAAGAAGTTTTGAGACTTTTGGAGAGGCAATTATAACTTTCCTAAAATATTGTAGCTTTAGTATATATATTTACTATATATCTAATAAGTTAACTTGCCAACTTTTGTTATTCCAGATTGAAGGGAAGGTTGTAAAATCTCTTTGAACACACCTTACCACACACTGCTTGTCACAGTGGACAAGTTTGAATGTAGTTAGGACATGAAAACAATTTGGTTGCCCGCTATGCAATAAAATCTTGTGCTAAACTGGGCAAAAATGCTACAGAAACATATGAAATGCTCCAGACTGCTTATGGATTAACTTGTATGAGCTGAGCATCTGATTTTTGCTAGCAAAAGAGATTCAAGGAATGTGGAGAGGATGTGAGAGATGATGAGCAATGTGGGAAGGAGACAACATTGATGAGCTGGTTGAGAAAATTTGCAATTTTCTGGATGAAGATTGTCATGTATCTCTAAAGACAATAAGCATACAGTTTGGAGTTGGTGTGGCAACTGTACACAGAATTATTCATGCAGATCTGAGCATACACAAAATTTGTGCAAAGTTTCTTCCTGGAGTTCTCAGTGACAAACAGAAAGAAAGATGCATTAGTGGAAAGATGGTTAACGGTCATCAAAACTGTCCCTCACCCTCATTAAGTCCAGACCTTGTTCCCTGTGACTTTGGTTGTTCCTCAAACTGAATAAGAATCTAAGAGGGGAGTCGTTTTGAAGACACTGAAAAGATGAAGGAGGCTGTGACAATGGCCTGGACACATTCACTTTGGATGACTTCCATCGGGTCTTCATGTGTGTTATAACAAGTGCATTGAAGTCACAGGATCCTACTTTGAAAGAGATTAGAGTTTTCTAAATATCTCTTGAAAAAATACCAAAACTTCTGGAAAGCACCTCATACATAAAAACAAATCATAATTTATATAATATTTATTTTAAACCAATAATTCACAAAACATTATGTGATATTTCTGTCCAGATTTGTCATTAAGGGATGGAGACCAAACCTTATTGTCATACATAAGAAAAGGAATAAGTGTCAAATTATTGATTTTGCTGATCCATATGAAAAAGAAACTGAAAAGACTAGAAAAAGATACCAGGATGTGGTTGAGGAGTTTAAGAAATTATGAAACACGATTGTTGAAGTAATTCCTGTTATAATAGGTACACTCAGAACAGCACCTAGAAACTTGAAAGAGCACTTAGGGAAAATTGGAATTGAGATCAAGATTGTAGAGCACCAGAAACTGCTATCCTTTATTTTGCAAGGATTCTCTGAAAGGTTCTTTATAATTGTGAGGTGTCTTGTTGAAGTCACATCTCAAGAAGAGAATTTCTGTTGACTATGTCAATGTGTAACACCAACTTAATCATCATAATAATAAATACAAATTTATTTTAACACCTAAAGCCATGATCCATCCAGAAATGTGTGTCAAGTGTAAAAGAGTTGCCAACTTACCTATGTAGTTAAACCAACCCTCGATGGACTCTTCCGCATATTTCTGGGAAGCTGCTTTGCCCACTTTAAGAATACCGTCCCTGAGCACTTTGGTAATTGGGCTGTGCCGACCCAGCCGACACAGCTCATACACTGTACTCAACTCCTTAAAGAAAAATTTAACATTCCTGAAGATGTACTCATTGTCTGGGCACACCACCACGTAGGCAACGTCTCTTGTTTTTCCATATGGCTCAAGCAAGAGTTTATCCTGAGAAAGGAGAAAAAGAAAAAAAAGAAAAATATTAGTTTGGTTTGTTTAACGGCATATCAACTCCTTATGGCTCATTAAATGCTGAAATTTTGTGAGTTTTTTTTTTTTTTTTAAATGTATTCCTGGTAATTTTTTTTTTTTTTTTTTAATACTATCAAAAATGTATTGCTGTTTTGTGATGTCAACAAACAGTTAGTGCCACTTTTGTAATGTCAATGAATACTCATTATCACTTTCGTAATGTTCATTGCAGTAGAGACTTTGTAATTGCAGATACAACTATAGTAACATTGTTGAACAATACTAGTGTCAGACACCTTTGAATAACACTTGTACTAATACTACTTACTTGATAATACTCGCTCAAAAAGTAACCACCAAATAGTAATCCGTATAGTGGGAACAGTAATTCCATGCTCTTCAAACCCTCCCAATCAGAGGCCTTGCTGTTGGATATAATTTATAGTCATACCAAGGACAGAAATATATCAGAATTAAAGACAAGGCATAGAATTTATCTACAAAAAATGTAAAACATGCATACAACAGTTATTTGCCTGTCCAGTTTAAACTACTGTTCTCCATCAAAGCAAAGATGGAAAAGGATGATGTGCAGCTATATTTAGAATTTTCACCCAGTTGCAGCAATCCTTTTATATGCTCCCCAAATTTTGACTACTTTTTATTTTTGAACAAGAATAAGGTTGACTTTAGGCTGATTACAAAGCTATTTATCAATGCTTCATTTCTATCTACTGCCCCCCCCCCCATCTGTAAGAAGCTTTAATTCACATTTACTGATTTGAACAAATAAGATTTTATAGTCTCCTTTCTCTTAGACATCAAGAGTTTTTCGGTTTTTTTTTTTTGTAAATAATACAATCAGGGAAATAATTTCAACAAATGTGGTTTACAGTAAAATATTTCTTGGACAGACATAAGATCATTCTGAATAGCAACCATTTTTAGCAAAGTTTACCCCTCATGTCTGCAATAAAATGGTGCATCAAAATGACATTTTATTTTATTATTTTGTACTACCTTCACTCAACCAGCAATGTTTGTTTTAAAAAGTGATGATTAGAATTTTAATAAAACCTAAACATGTCAAAGTAAACATTTTCTTACAACAAAAATATTAAACACTATTGTTCATTTACAAGAACAATTTCATAATTTACAACATTCTAAAAAAATGCAAACTAGTAATACAATACGTTTATCATTTACAAGATTTTTTATTCATAGATTCATAAAAATTTAATTGTAAAAATAAGTGAACTATAATCTTTATTATTTACCATTTTATAAAGTTTGAATTTAGTCGAAATACGCCAATGGTTTAACAACTATTCCAAAGAACGCAATTAGTTGAAAATTTTGTAGGATTTTATAAATCTTTGAACAAAAAGATCTTTCCAAATTTATTTCTTTATAAAATGATAAATAATACATCTTTATATAATGGGAAATCTCAAATAAACATTGCTGAGGGAATTTCAGTAATTTAAAGTAATAACAGTGTCAAGGGAATAATCATCCTTTTATTATTTCATTATATTTTTTTTGCAGGCATAAAGGTTAAACATTATGCATTTTGTTAATGGCTGCAAACTTCTGCAAAGCTTTTTTTTGTACATTAGAAGCAGCGATGGCTTAAAAGAATCAAGTTGCAGAGAGCAGTCATTAAAAAAAGAAAAAAAATTCTATAATATTTAATATTTAGAGTAAAAAGCTTTAAAGGATAATAATTTAATTTGACAATAGCCTAAAATCATCCATGTCAACACACAGGGTATTGGGTTTTTTTTTTTTTTATTATTTGAATTGATTGTTTAACAGCATGGGTCATTTAATACCAAAATTTAATTATCTTGCAAGCTTTGAAGTAATAGAAATATGATATATGTTATTCTGCTTTCACAATTTAATACATGGTAGATGATACTCAGCTTTTGAGCATATAGATGTTTGTGCAGACATAATTACTAGAGGCAGAGATGTGTTTTATGTTGTAGTCTTGTTGAAATTATATTTTAGAATAGCTTAATATTTTTAAGAACTTGTCTGATATTATATAGATTAATGTCATGAAAGAGTTCTTTCATGTAGTTGTTTGGCCGATTTTGTTTAGCAACATATCAACCACCACGGATTTAATGTTGAAATCTAAATAATTTGAACACAATTTTATGGCTTCAACTAAATATATTTTAAAGGTAATTGTATGCCTTCAACTACAGACAAAATTGTGTTGTTGGTAATTTTTTTTTTTTTTATATAAAAATGTATTGCTGGCAAATTTACCATAAAAATGTATTTTTATACTTTCATAGTGTTATTTTTTTATTTGGGGGTTCACTATTTGCTCATAGCTGGGACCCTAAGTGCTACCACTCAGGGACAAGGTGGACCTGGGAACAATAGCAATTAAGAGGTGGTTCCACGCTCCTGAAAATTTCCAATCTCCCGATCAGAGAGCTTGATGTTGAATGTAGTTTATCATCATACCCAAGACATGGTTTTCATTTAGTGGCATATCAACCTCTAGGAATTATTTAATGCTAAAATCTAAATATTTTGTATGGAATTTTATTTTTATCTTTGGAGATAACATCGGTTTTGTGATATAATTCTTACTAATTAACCCATAGCTGGGTGGGAAGAAGCCACTGTGTTAGTGTTTGTGAGACAGAAAATGCATCTGCAAAAAAAAAAAAAAAAAAGACCCATTGATAGATATCAACTTACCCAATAAGGGAGAGCATATGGTGATACTGACAACCAATCTTTATCATAACCAACAAGAAATGAAGGAATTGGTTGAGGTTCAGAATTTTCTTCAGTTCCTGTAGAAAAAAATAAAAAAATAAAAATAAAACATTCCACCAAACTGCATAAAAAAGTTAATATACAACAAATTAGATTTAAATGATTGAGCTTTTAACATAAAAAGAAAACTTTTTCACCAAGCATTTCACTTTTTGTTTTTCTCTTTCTTTCTTCAGTGGTCATTGGGATAAGAAAAAAAAGTATAGTTAAAAATGTATTCAGTTGTTTTTATCAGTCAGAAACAGCATAAATTATTAGAAGATGAGAAAGAAGAGGGGATAATTGTGATTTTTATGCAGTAACCAATTATCTGAAGCTGAAAATTTGCTTGTAAACTAAATCAGGCAATTTCTTTGGCTGAATAAAGAACACATTTCTTTATATTAGGCTGAATAAAGAACACATTATATAGTTTTTGCAAAGCTGCGGCAGTGTACACAGTGGATTAAAGGAAAAATGTTGTTCTCCTCCATGACAGTTCTAGGCTGCATACAGCAAGAACAACACAGGAAAACAGTTTGGAACTTGGTTGGTCTGTTCTACCCATCTTGCTATATTCAACTGACCTTGCACTAACTGATTATTACTTTTTCAATTACTGCAATAGTGAAAACTTTCTCTAATGAAAAATGGATTCAAGAGTTTGTCAAAAACGTTTTCACATTAAAACCAGAATTTTTACTCAAATGGTTATCTAAGAGTTGCCGGATAAGCAGCAAATATGAATAAATAATGGTATAAAATGTTAATTGTAGTTTATATTTTTTTGAAGAACATACTTTATTCTTCAAAAAATGAAATACAATTACATTAATAAGCAAAAATAGAAATTATTCATGCCTCAACCTCAAAGATAATGCTATATATATATATATATATATATATATATATATATATATATAGAGAGAGAGAGAGAGAAAAGGCTAACTTAGATAAAAATATTATTTACACAATTTATATTTGGACTACTGTCCTCATCTTCATTGGTTTTATCACATTTTGGTAATTGTACCCTCTGGCCATCACCAGGTGTATATCAATCTGGGTAATCTACAGGGAATTTCAAACTGAGTGAAGACAATAATCCAAATGTAAATAGTGTAAATAATAATAACTCTTCATCGGGAAAATTCAGACAGAAATTACGGATAAAAATATTTAATTTTATCCATAATTTCTAATATTTATAACTACGACTGTGCTTTTAATTATAAACAATTTAATCTTCAACTGATATTTTTAACATCAGTGAAAAAAAAAAACAAATCTGACAAAATACATTGGCATACAACTGTAAGAGAGACAATAACTAGAAATAAGACCATTTTATATATTAGGGGTCACAGTTTATTTGGACTTAGTGTTTTTCATAAGGTTTCCTACATCATGCTAATTTCTATTCAAGGATTCTTTTGATTTGGGTTACAACCAAAGTAACCGGCATAACTAATCTTAGAGGCAAGCATTAAAAAGTAATCAAGTTTACCATAAAAGATGCCCTGAATGATCGAGTGTAGTACTTGATCCATGATGAACATACTCCTCTTTACTACACCTGAATCCTTTCCCCACTTTTCTTTTCTTTGCTTCCACCCCTCACCTGCTGCTTAATTTTGCACTACTTATGTTCAGGAAATACTGTCAGCTAAGTGAAATTATTGCTTCTTGCAAGATGTATGTATGGAAATTAACTGATTTGTTTTTTTTGCAGGTTATTTAAAGCCAAAAAAATTTTTTAGATTCTAAGAATTTTTTTTTTATTTTTGAAATAATGATTTACCCATAGCTGGAGGGAGAAGAGGCGAATCCATACATTTTCCAAGGTTAGAACTCTGCTCTTCAATTAACAATTGCAAGCTATTATCTATTACACCACCCACACACAATACTGTAAGTCAGATAGCTGCCTTAAATCAATAGTTAACAAGCTCATCTAACAAAAAATGACTAGTTAGTTTTACAAGGTTTCACTTTATTATGACCTTGTGCTAAACTACATTAACCTTAATGAATTATCACAATACAAATAAAACTTCAAAAAGTTTCAAGATTTTATCTATTAAAAAACATTATAATAGTAATAGTTATTATAAAATAACTACATTTAAAAGGTTATGTCTTTTCTAAAAGAGAGAGAGAAAAAAAAAAGATCTTTGTAATGCAAACCTCGACCGGCCAATTGATGGAAGTCCTTCCAACTGAGGGGACCTGACAATTTGTAGGTGTGCTCCCATAACCGCATTGTACGTTTCTTCTGTATAGCATCAGACAATAAAGGCTGTAAGGATTTCAATAGCCGCAGAACATCCTGCGAGTTAAGAGGTATTCGGTTGGCACCTGTGACAAAAAGATGAATATAAATTATGAAATGACAGAAGGCTCACAATTTTGATGATTTCAATTTCCTTTCAAAACAGTTACAAAATATTCATTCACAATTAAATGAAGATACAGTTATTTTATTTTTGTAGTATCAAACAAAATCTCCCTTAAGAAAAATACATTTTCCCCTCCTAAATAATTTGTATACAAATTTGTGTTTAATATTTATTTTCACATTTCACAAAAAGGACACCTAAGTTTCATGGAGAGTATAAATTAATAAGTAAATAAATAAAAATGCAAAATCAAGTCAAAGCCATTTTACATTCAATTTAACATTTCAATTTTCTTGATTGGTTGATTTTGTTTAGTAGCATATCAACACCTCTATGGACTATTTAATTCCTAAATTTAAATATTTTGAACACAATTGCATATGCCTTCAACTACAGATGAAATGTATAGTTGGTAATTGTACTATAAAATGTATTACTGGTCATTTTACTATAAATGTGTTGCTGTTATTTTTACTATAAGAATGTATTTTTATACTTTGATAGTGTTTGGTTTTTGTTCCAGGGTTCACTATTTGCCCATAGCTGGGCCCCATTAACAGGTGCTACCACCCCAGGTCAAGGTGGACCTTAAAACAACAGAAATTAAGAGGTGGTTCCACACTCCTCAAAACCTCAAATCTTCTGACCAGAGGTCTTGCTGCCAGATGTAGTTTATTGTCATACCCTGGACTAATGAATTGCTTGAAGTACAAGGTTTTGATTTAAAATAATAAAAGTTGAATTAGTAGTTTTTCTAAAACCAAATTTACATATTTATATTCATGAATTATCAGCCATTCTAAGAGAAGTGATGTCTCCCAACAGTTTAAAACTTAAAAAAGATAGCAAGAGATGAGAGAATTTTACCTTGCAGATAAGGCCACCTATGTAAACATGAAGATTTCATGAGAGGATCATCCAATTTTGAAGGAGAGCAATTTTCAGCAGCCTGCCGCCCTTGTTCCAGGGCAGAATAAGCAGCTTCATTCCCATCTGCAAAGAAAACAAGAAATTATTGACACAATACAAGAAACTGAATAAACTCCATCCTTTAAAATTTTACCTGACACAACAAATGATGTCATCTCTCCACACTGACATCACCTGAATGTTAAATCTTTCTGTACAAAGTTTTGAGCATAAAAAAATTATTTTTCAACATCATGATTAACTCATGATGTTGAAAAACAATTTTTTTTTTTTTATCCCTATAGCATTACATATGGGATAACACATTTGGTGTATCAAGATATTATCATTTACAATAATAGTTTGGATAACTTAATCATGGAAAATGAAAACCTATAAGAAACAGTAAGGTATTGTATTAAATTGGTCCCACCTACACTAGAGATACTAAATTTATTGATACTCAGATGCCAGAGTTGAAATGGCCATAAATTAAACTTTGTAAGAAAATAAGAGTTCTTTGTCAGAATCAGGTCAGGGATCCTGTTTTGCTACAGGTACAGGCTTCCCTTTTACAACCTGACACATATCCGGTGAAAAGATGGGCACCATCAAGTTTCCACTGTGAAATATCACAAAGCCCAAGATTGTGAATGTCCAGTCATGCATGATAGCTCAACTACCCCTTTTGGTTAGGGGACAATGTGTAATGTCAATGGCAATGCTGATGCTTCAGTTCACCCAACTATTCAATAAAACATAACAAGGGAAATAATCCTTATCATACTCAAATACAAAGAAATCATGATAAAAGCAGTTCAGCTTCCACTTATATTAAGAAATTTCAATGAATAATGTAATGTTTACAATTATACAGGATTCATTTGAATCAGCTTTGTTGTTTTTATTACAATACTTTGGCTGCTGTAATATTCATCCTTCCTCAATAACTTTCAAGGAATTTAAATTAAATCCTGTAATTGATCTATAGAGGTTTGTTATTTTATGCATTACTATAGATGGATAGAGTTATTCCAAATTGCTGGATAATTAATTTGCCTAACAAATGTTGAAATGTTGCAATAATAGAGGTAAAAAAAAAAAAAAAAAAAAAAAAAAAAAAAAAAAAAAAAAAAAAAAAGAAAAAGAAAAAAAAAAAAAAAAAAAAAAAGAAAGAAAAAAGAAAAAAAAAAAAAAGAAAAAAGAAAAAAGAAAAAAGAAAGAAAGAAGAAAGAAAAAAGAAAAAAGAAAAAAGAAAGAAAAAAGAAAAAAGAAAAAAGAATAAATAAACCTCCAAAAGACTCGCTGTATAATTGCATTAAATCCTTATGTCTGCAATTCAAATGGAAATGGAGTTGGTAGAGTAAATTAATGCTTACAAAAGTCATTTCTCAAAAATTTCATCCTAATATAAATTTCACAAATTTAATATTGTATTAGATTTGGTTTAAAGAAAATTGAATGGAAAATTGATACAATTATTCAAAATTTCAGTCTAATACAGGATGCGATAGGTAAATTGTGACCATTTTATATTTTTCATTTCACACATACATGTTGTTTGTTTTTGATTTTGTCGACTGCACAGTATAGTAGGGTCAGTTAAGCTCTGTGGGTGAGAGAAAGTGACATGATGCAATTCACTCCACCAAAAATTTGGAAACTGCATGCTGTACTGCTTGGCATTCTCACTAGAATCTCCAATACAAACATTTCAGAGTGTTTGGGTATCAATCTGAGGACAGTGCACAGAATTTAGAAAGAGTTGGATGAGTCTAATGGTGATTACAAATGTATGGCAGCTCAGAAATTTCACTCTGATAAGAAAAGAACTTCCAAATTTATTGGTGACATGGAGGCCTACATCAAGTACCTTGAAGAAGTAGTGTTGCCTTGGGTCAAGATGGTGGCTGCTGGAAGACCCATGCGACACAAGCAGGAGAACCCAGTCATAGTTGTCAGACAATTTCTGCGACCATATAACCCCTTACATCTGGCCACCTAACTCCCCAGACTGCAACACCCTTGATTATTATGTGTGGGGTACAGTTGAGTGAGAGACCAACAAAACTCCTTGTAACACCAAAGACAAACTGAAAGCAACAAAGCTTAAACAACAAGATCATATTCTGAAGTCATCTGGAAGCTGTAGTTGAAGCCAATGACAATTTTATTGAATAAATTTACTCTTTAGTATTTCAAGATATTTTTGTTTAATTTTGATAAATATATCTGTTAAAATGAGATGTCAGTATTATTTTCATTTTTGTGTAATTTAGACGACAGTTTATCTATTACACTCTGTATAAACCAAATATGTATTTTTGATGCTTTATCTTCTGATAAAAGATGAGAACAATGAAAAGTTTTATAAGCAAAAGAAAGGATTACATTTCTTTTTTTTAAAAAAAAAAAAGTTTTAATAATTGAATGAGGTTTTATTTTTAAAACCATTTCACTGCAAACAAGGCAATAAAAGCCACTAAGATATAAGGGGTTACTGAGTGTTAGAGAATGAGAAAAATATACTATTAAGGAGAGAAGACAAAAGAACAAGAATTAAAAAGACAGAAGATAATGATTGACATTGCATTTAAATTTTTGAAGGTTAAAGTTGACAGGGAAGCAAGAAGCTGGAAGAGAGTTCCACAAGCGAAAAGTGCAATAGGAAAAACAGTTATCTATCTATATTTCTGAGATGAGGTATTGTAACTATTTACATTGTTCAAACTCTTGTCCTCATCTTTATTGTCATATTCCCATTTCAGCCTTGGGGACACATAGCCCAGTGGATAAAAGTGTTAATTGAAGTAATCCAAGTTGCAAGTTCAATACTTGGCCACAGAAGCGAATAAAAATTTGAAGTAGAGATACTAAAGAGAATTAACTGAAACTGAAATATTCAAAAAAAAAAAAAAAAAAAAAAAGGCATGGCATGTAGAGCTAGAACAATCAGCCCCCAGGTACGGTTCAAAATTCCAACATATATCACCTGAAGAATGCTGGAGCATACAATGGCCAAAACCTTGTGAATATGACAATAAAGACGAGGGCAACAGTCAGAACAATGTAAATCATGTAAAGAAACTGTTAGCATAGAACTTACAGTTGCAGCCATTTCAACTGTAAAATGAGGAGACCTTGCAGCCAATCTAGTACTGTGTTTAAATTCATAAAGTCTAGGTACCATAGAGGAAAGTTCATCAAAACAATTACCATGAAAATATTTATAGAAAAGGTACTGGGAAGCTACGTTACGAGGGTGAGAGAGTGATTGAAGCCAAGATACCAGGTTAGGACCAATAACATTGCAGATTCTTCTTTGGATTTTATCAGGAATCTAAATATATAACAGGAGCACCAGACCAGATGTGGCAGCAATATTCAAAGCTATTATATGAATTTTTGCTTTTAAGAAACAATTTCACCAGGAAGATTTTTATAGAGGAATATTATCTCCATTATTTACATTATTCGGACTATTGTCCTCATCTTTGTCACCAAATCAATCCAGTTTCTCGCCAAACTCCGGCCTTCTTCAGGTGGTTGGAATGTCGAACTTAACCCTTTATTAAGAAGGCTGGAGTGTACAACGGTCGAAACATTGAAATAAATATAGCGACAAAGATGAGGACACTAGTCCAGATAATGTAAGTAATGTACATAATACCTCATCTGAGAAATATAGACACAAATATCATCTCATAACTTTGAAACAATTTCCAAAATGGAATCCAAATAAACTCTTATATTTGCCTCAGAATTATTGCTATGGTAAAGAAAAAAAAACAACATATTTCAATGCTGATAATAATTATGAAATATTTAAGGGGTTTATTTCGGGGGAGTGGCAATTCTCGATGCAGAGTAAAAATACCAAAAGAGGAACATAAGGATTTTACATTTTGGGAAGAGAGTGCAAATGGCAAAGTTAGTTTAGACTTCTTTTCAATCCACATTACCAAAAAAAAATTAGAATTAAAATCAAATTTAAATTTTTTTATTTTTTTAAATTATAAATTGAATCCTCAATTTGGTCGTGGTTTTAAGGCTACTCAAAATACAAAACATGGCATCAAGCAGTGGATGATACATGTTAAAAAACAATGAAAGTGAAGAAAGAAGTCTAAAAAAAATTATTGTACAAGGTGGCCCGAAAGTCTAGTCACCCCTATATAATATAATTTTCTATTTCAGATGGCTGACACAAGCTCCTACAGTTTGGAAGAGAGGTAAGGGAGTAACAAGACTTTAAAACCACCCTGTATAATAATTTGAATCTGCAAATATGTAGAACTCAAGTTATCACAAATCTTACTACTCAAATTCAGTAATTTAATGTACGTATAAATAATAATAATAATAATAATAACAATAATAGTAGTAGATGACCGAGTAACACCAAACTTCTGAATCCATGACTATATTTTTGCAAGATCAACACTCTTCTAAGATTGAAGTCATGTATTCCTCTTTGTTAAGGTTATCCAATGAGATATTCAAACTTCAAAAAAATGTAGCCTATTTCATGGCATGTTAAAAGCAATTCTTTACCCTCCCTCGGATTTTATGTATGAAAATGAGATTAAATTGATTACCATATATACAATACTGGTTTGTTTGTTTTTTACTTAATATTCTGCAGTGAGATGGAGAAGAGGTTTTATAATACATCAAATAGAGAATGCAAACTTCAGCTCAATAATGAGTTTGCTTTCTAGGATTGAAAGACAGATTTACTTAGAAGATGAAAACAAGAAAATGCACAAATTAATCCTGATTGAAAACATGAAAAAAGTACGATTATGAAAACATAAAAAAGAATAAACAAAAACTTTGCTTTAATTATTGACAAATGACTTAACAATCTTCAGCATTTTTTTTCTTACAGAAATATTTCCTAGCAATTAGGCTTTGTTTTCTTATAGACATCTCTACAGAGGTAAATTCTCAATGAAAAATCAAAATTAGATTTAGAATAAAATGCAGCATAGATTTACAAAAAATACTTGAGGTTTTGCTTTCTTTAAAAGTAAATAGAAAAATTACAATATAATTAGAACTAGTCAGAGGTTGGAGGTGAGAATGAGTCAGCATGTGCTGGCTTGTATTCACACAGGACAATTTGATAATTTGCATTGGTGCATCAATACATATGGCTCTGAATCTGAACAGACGGGAACATTTAGACATTCACTTGATAGTACTGGAGAAAATACAAATGAAGTCATTATAACCCACTGTCTATAAACAGAAGGAGTGGCTATTAGGTTTGAATGTAATATATGTGTGTATATCCTGTCTTCATGAATTTCCTTATGTTAATCACTGTATGTATGCGTTTTTTAGTCCTCGATTGACCTCTGAATAGTGACGAATAAAAACGGCCAGTTACTTATTGTTTTTCAGTTTACCATCTATGGTAGTTATAAAAATGGTTTTTATAAGTCTCTCCTTGCTCTGTTTTATAATTTGTTTTAAAAGCTATGATATGATAGAGAAATGCCTGTAATTCAGAATTATATTCACAATGTTAATGAATTTATCAAAGACCTGCTTGAAATCAAAATACATTTTCATTTTGGTTTGTGTAACACAGGTTGAAGTGGCTGCTATCACAAATAAATATAAAATTAAATAGATTTCTTAAAATTTATTAAATGATCAACATAGTAAAGGCAATTATTTGAATTCATGTTTTCAGCTGAAGTATTTTCATTATCCTAAATATTTTTAAAACTACCGTTTTCCTCTTTGTTATTTCCAATATTGTTTTACGAAACACATATTTTTTTTAGTGTACCTTAGTTTTACTCAATGTGTCTTTTAGAAATGTCAAGTACTTTTTTTTTGTTCTTATTCATAACTTGAACATAAAAATCTCAACATCAGAGGATAGAGTATGATGCTGATATAGATACAAAGGATTCTAAAGCAAATGAAAACCATGTTTTTCTTTCTTTTTATTATTTACTAGTTGGGTACCCATTACTTCCCTGATGGAAAGATGATCGAATTTCAAATCTAAATTTATTTACATTTATTAGAAAACATATTCTGTTTAAATACAGAGGAAGTCAAAGATGAATTTGAAAATGTTGTTACAAGATAGAAGGGAACACAGCTGTCCATTTCAAATTCATTTAAATTGTGTGCAAGTGTATGTTTACATGTGCATATATATTTTAATTCAATGACAGATCTAAAAATATATATATATTTTAATCAATCCCTTTCAAGCAAGGTAATAATACCACTAAGATGCAAGGGGCTACTAGAAGTGAAAGAGTATAAGAAGACTTTAGAAGGAACTGGAAACCCAACCCTTAACAGGAAACAAGGGATAAATCTCTGCTTAAAATATATATATATATATATATATATATATATATATATATATATATATATATATATATGGATTTAATAAAAAAATTAACTTTTTTTCTATCTATTTGCCAACTTTGATTTTATTGCTCAATAACAGGTAGGGATTGTCCAGACTGAATGAGAAGGAAATGTATAATTCCAATGTTTCATTTCAAACTCATTATTTATCATCTATTAAATAGCACAATAATTAAGCAAGAAGTCACTCATGTACAACATACACATGCATATACATTACATAGGCACATGAAAGCCACATGCAGATACCATATGCCAGGCAGCATCATCTTTTATTATAGATTGATTAATTAATTTAGAATTTATGATTTATCAACCCTTTGTGGGTTATTTAAAGCTAAAACATTCTGAACTGTAAGAAATTTTTTTTTTGCAAGTGAATATTACATTAATAACTTTTTTTTTTAAAGTAACGTTTTTTTCTATATACAAGTCCTACTATTTAACACATAGGCAGGGGAAATAAGAGATGTTGCTTTTAAAAAATAGATTCTTAGATTCTGTTTTATATCACTTCTAATATTCCAGTCTTTAATTCTTTAGATTCATGATTCTCAACATGTTTTTACCTATGGACTACTTTTACTCTTAATTCTTTTTGTGGAACCCCATAACCATTTGATGGAAAAGAAAGTGGATTTTATTTTTTTTACTAACAGATATGTTTAAGAATTGTATTATAGAAATAGTAAATGTATATGCTTTATTTTGAGATAAAACTAATCTAATGAAAATAAACAACTTTAAAAATTCTATGGAACATTCATGTACACTAGTAAAATAGTTCATGATAAACCATTTTAAAGTATGTTAATAATTAATAAATTTAAAAAACAATGTGCAGATTTATTCAATAAGATCACTGTGGTTGATCCTGCTCTGCGAGTTTTATTTTATATTTGGCTCCATCGATGTCAATGATAATCAAAGAAAACCCCTTTTCACAATGTCAAATCTATTAATATATTAATTAATTTAGAATGAATATTTTATTAATACATTAAATTTATATAATAAATTATTATATAATTTTTTTTTTTATATATATATATATATATATATATATATATATATATATATATATATATATATAAATCGTTCCTTTATATATCCTTCTCAGTTTTTATTCAACTTTTCCAATCAAAACATCTGGTAGCATAAAAAGGAGTTTCCTTTTTACTCTAGAAGATATTTTGATTGTAAAACTTGCTTGATCTAGTTATCAGCTAGTTTTAAAGTTGTTTTCCTATTTTTAGTATTTTAATATGGCATAGCTTACTGCAGAAATTCTAGTTCTCAGTTGTAAAAACTGTTCCAAAGTGAAATTGCTCTATAGACCACTAAAATATTACTGTGAAACCCAAATTTGCTATTTTTTGTATGGACCCCCAGTTGAGAACCTCTGCTTTAGATCCTTCTTAATTCTTATGGCAACCACTGGTATTAAGTAGGAAAGCAAACACATGAGATTTGAATTGTTAAACTTTTACATCTTAAGATAACCTAACAGTTTTAGTTTTCAATCAAGACGGAAGTAAAAGCTTATATTTCAATTTCAAGTCAAAAAAATTCTATACATATAAAGTAAATACAATCGACAGAAAATGAGAATTCCAATGACTAATCTTAAGTGCAGTAAAACATCTTTAAACTGAAAACATAAATCTTTCTAATCAAAAACTAGAGTTACTAACATGAAAGGAAAAAATAAAGCCTATTCAATTCTAATAATTTGTAAAAGGACATATAGTTTTTCTCAGAAAATCATGAGGCTTGCTCCATTCATTTGCAGCAACCCAAGGGGAGATTTCTACTAGTATTTACTTGCTAGTAGCAGGATGAGGCACAAGGCCAATTTAAAATGGGTGAGAGAGAGTGCATACACTTGGACTATGGCTAAAAATTGTCCAGTTTCCACAACTAATATCGTGCTGGCATTGATATTCCACCAATGTCTCTCTTTGGTGAAATGAGAGATGCGCTGCCACAGGGTCAGAATTCCCCAGGACCAAGCATCCCTCATTTATTTTTGAGCTCTATCTGAAGACAAAGACAATTTGAGAGATAACAATGTAGTTACCAAAACGCAAGATCCCTATTTGTCCACGGTAGAAAACTAAGCAGGTTTTAAAGCAGTCGACTGGATTCAGGATGCTTACAATTGGCCTGATGTGAAACAGATTTGCATATTCACAGACATAAAATACTTTCACTGGAGAGCACTTCTACTTATTTTTTTTTCTGTTTAAAAAAACATCAAGTATGCAACACAGGAATATTTTGGCTATTAAATAAGTAGCCATTTTCTTCTGTATATAATTAAAATACAATCCATACATATTAAAAAAGGTGTGATAAATACAAAGCGTGATTGTAAAAATAAAGCCTGAATATGATGGACAAATGCATTGTCATAAATAAAGAGAAATTGAATAAAAAGCCCATTTACAAATACAACCTCCATGAACAGGTTTAACCCACCTATATTTACTGTACAAGTAAAATAATGCTTATGTCCTGACAGCTGAAATTATTTTCCATTTGAAATAGAATCATCCCATAGAGATACCACACAACTCTATATTTTTATATATATATATATATATATATATATATATATATATATATATATATATATATATGCATGCACGGTACTTATTGGAAAGTTCTCAATATCAGCAATAGAGCTAACATATTCAGTTGTATGGGATATGAACTTCTGACCCTGGGTTTCACACTTTTGTGATCATCAAATGGGTTTATTTTATGTCTATATAATAGATTCAATTTTTAAAAAATAAACACGTTTGTCTGATGATCGCAAAAGTGTGAAACCCAGGGTCACAAACTCGTATGCATACAACTGAATATATATATATATATATATATTTTCACATATGAAAACAAACGCCCCCCATTTTGATTAAAAAAACAGAGTGATTGTGTGTGAAAAGAACTTTGCTTACCTTGCATCGATATGCCATTGACAACATTGTCGACCAGCGACGTCGCAGCATTCGTAATTAATTTGCTAAACATGCGCATAGCCACAGATGACGGAAAAGGGACACAGAACTGACTTAATAAACACTCCAGAATGTCTTGGGGTACGTCCTCAGGGACGAGTGCTGTTTGATTTGTAGCATTGTCCTTGTTAATACCAGTTTTCTGGTAATCTATCACTGCCAGACGTTTGTGTGTGTTCTGATCATAGCGGTCATCTTTTATGCCGGTAATGTCCACTTCATCTTCATAGAAGAGTCCTGAGTTGTGACCAAACATACGATTCATGACTGCACTGAAGCCACATGTACAGCGGTTCATATCCTCAACATTGAAGTCATCATCCTTGACACGCATGTTGCACACGCAGAGATTGCAGCTGTCAAAATTGTGATCTTTGAAGATATTCAATGAGCTGTCTCCAAGGATGACATTGACCAACACACTGTGCACCTCTGGCAGCTGGTGATTTGTACCTTGATTGTCAATTGAACTCAGCGTCTTGTTCACATAGGATGACGAGGCGTTTGACATAGGCGACTGTTCGTAACTCATAGGAGTCCGTGATACGCTGCCTCCGGGAAAAGTGGCTGGAGATGATTCAATGGCACCCACATGCATTTTGGATGAACTGGAGATGTTTTCAATGGACGGGAGGTAAGGGTAATGACTGAAATATAATCAAACACACCAATAAACATTTTTCAACAGCAGTAAGATTGCAAAATGGAAATAATAATTATCACTATATAACATTGGTAAGTACTCAAATGTAATTATTTCATAACAAGTTAATTTTGAAATTTATTGCTTTGAAGTTCCAGGATTTAGTTATTATATACTAAGCTTAGTTTGGATTGAAAGAACACCAATTGGATGTGTGGGTTGTGTAATCATTGTTGGTACAGAAAGTGGAATTGGTAAGCCAAGTTCAAATTCCAGCCTAGTCTGTTGCATTCACTTTCACACTAATGCTCTTGAGAAAGGCATAAACCCATTTCTTTTCCCTCCAACTATGGGTTGAATAGCAGGGTAGATTGGCTGTCTAAGTTTGGGTGTCAGCCAGTCAAGGAGTAGGATGATTTTGAATGTAAAACTGGTGAAGGCAGTGGCAAAACCACTATCTTTTCCAAGAAGTCATGGTAATTCATAGATCATAAAGAAAAGGAATGTGGAGAGCCATAATCACCTATGTCCTAAAGAAACATGGCATGAGTTTAATACTTAAATATAATTATTCTATAGCAAAATAAATTTGAAATATACTGGTTGGAAGCACTAAGGTTGAGTTATTGCATACTAAGCCGAGGTTAATCTAGTACAAGATCCCAAGTAGAGAAACTAGTAAAGTTCAAATTGTTTAATATGGTAAATTGGCATGAGAGATAAAAAGCCTGATATTTTGCAGTATGCAATCAATCAATCTATTAAACTTAGGCAAAGTACAACACAAAGATTGAATTCACTACAGTAATGAAAAGTCTGAGACCAGCTACAAAAAACATTGTCAAGTGATCTCTCATTATGGCTTCAAATCTAGTCAATGTTCATGGAAATAATTTTATAAATATTTAAAAGGATCTCATTATGTATTTATAATAATAATAATAATGATGATGATAATATTTATTGATTTTCAAAGACATTCTCATATAAGATTTCATGAAGCCATTTCCGATTTTAGGTGTCTCATTGTGACTGGGAAGGAAATATGTATACAACAGAAAACTAAGGAAATAATAATAATAATAACGATGATAATAATACAACTGAAAAAATGTTAAAATTACAAGAATTTTACATATTTTTTATGCTAGCAGTGCCAAAAGTACACAGTAGATAATTAGAGCTATAATATTCAATAAATCAAGAAAAGTCCAAGTGACTTATCTGGTTGACTGAAGATGGTTTTGTGTTGAAATGCTCATCAGAGTCAAATGTTTGATAAAGCTATAATTTTACAGCCAATCAGATTAGTTACTTGAACTATTATTGATTTATTAAATATTAGTGATTTTTAAAGACATTCTCATGTAAATCATACATATAGGCTTATGACAAATTTCCAGAAACCTTGTCATAATACCAAACCTAAGAAATTAAATTTTACATATAGTAAATAATTTGACCCCTTGAAATTATTAACCTATAGCTGAAATCGTTCACATCTTTCATGAACTTGTAGCAAACAAAAAATTCCTTTTTCATCTCTCATCATCACCTTTTTTTTTTTTTTGAAAGATCAAATTACCTTTTGGACAATTGCTATTATAGAACTAGCAGATTATGTATCATAGGGTATTATAGATAAGATTCAATAAAGAAAAATTTAATAAAGAGAAAAAAATGTTTGAACATCAAATTTTGGTTCTCAATCTGTATGGTATTCATTGAAAATTAGAAAGAAAGATAGCATCACTGGTCAGGAATCAATTAATATGCATAATTTAACTGATTTGGTTTTTTTTACAACTTATCAACCCTTTGCAGATTATTTAAAGCTAAAAAATATTTTTAGATTGCAAGATTATTTTTCTTTTGAAATTCATACATTTACCAAGGGTACTTCCACGTAAGTGAATTTAACAAACACAATGCGAATTGGAATCCAGCTCTCCAAAATTCGAAGCCATTATCCATTACACCAACCACACATCCAAGCTTACAGCACCTGGTATTCCCAAAGAGTTACCCATCAAGGTACTGGTCAGGCTTGACATTGCTGAACTTCAGTAATCATACAGGAACTAGTGTCTCAACATGATGTGGCCATAAACCAGAAAGAAAGCATTGACATTGGTTAAGAATTAATGCAATCATTACTGACAGAACAGGGCCATGTGCCTAATTGTAAATACATTGCTAATAGTTTTGCCATATATATATATATGCACTGATAATTTTGAAAAAAGGGATTGTATAAATAATATATAAAAATAATACATAAATATAAATATTAACAAATAATATATAAAAATAATACATTTCACACATTAGTCAATGTGTAACAAAAAAAAGGAAAAAAAAAAGACTTTTCTGGCAGTATTTAATGAAATTCAAAGAAAATTCATATAAAAATGTAACTACACACAGACATACACTTGAACTTACCTTGGTGCATGTGACTGACATTGCCAAGAAGGTTTATATTCAGGGATCTGAAAATTTGACATTAAAGTATCATGGGCACTCGGCAGCTCTACTGGGGCATACTTCGTGGAGCCTACAAAACGGGCCAACTTGGGCGGCTTGAACACACACGACCAGTCCTAAAAAGAAAAGCACTTGGTTCTATATATATATGTATATATATATTTTTAGGTATCACCTCATGCAAAGCAGTAATACCAAAGACACAAGGGATTACAGGGCGTGGAAGAATTAAGAACAGAAGCATTAATAATGAGCAGTAGGAGTAATCAGTAGGACAGTAGATAGCAGTTGACATTGCATTTAAATTTATGCAGATTGAAGTTGGCTGGGAAGCATGGAACCAGAAGGTAGTTCCACAAGCAAGAAGTGCAAGAAAAGAAACTGTTAGCATAGAAGTTATGATTACATCAAGCCATACATACATACATAGAAAAACATCAATATTGACTGCAGTTGAAATAGTCGAAATTTGAGACTGCATCTCCTGGTTCCACCAAACCTGGCCTTCACAGCTAGGACACACCATGCCACTTACAAACCACCCTCATTCCCGCAGTATTCCATTGGCAAGAAGTAAGTTCCATTCAAACAGCTTCTTCTTGTGAACCACTGCTTTATGGAACCGACTCTCAAGAGGATGTTCGCCCCCAATTGCTCCAATCTTAACCTGTTCACATCTAGAGTCAACTGTTATCTTCCACTCTTATCCATATAAACTACCTCTTAATGTAACCCTCTACCTCGAAGACCCTTAGCCTTGTACAGGGTGAACCTTACTGCAAAAAAAAAAAAAAAAAAAAAAAGTCAACCAATATTTCTACAATCTTAGCCTGTTCAAGTCTACTTCCCCTCTTATCCATATAAACTACACCTTAATGTAACCCACTATCTCGAGTGGCTCCCGGACCTTGTACAGGGTAAACCTTACTGTAAACAAAAAAAAAAAAAAAAAAAAGAATATCAACCAATATTTCTACAATCTTAGCCTAGGTACCTCCACGAAATCGCTAAAAAAAGAGCATAGCTTGATGAAAAAGACGCCAACCTTGCCGAAAACAAAATTTTATTGTCTAAATGCTCATGTTATTATTTAGAGGAAAGACCAAAGTTTTTTTAAATTATTTTAAAAAAAATTTTCCTTCTTTTAGAAAATTCTAAATTTTGATTAAAAAACCTTGTTTCTATTTGTATCATGAACTAATAAATAACATAGACAATTTTTTTTTTTTTTTTTGGTATGACACACATTAATTTGAAAAATCTTGCAAAAATAAAAATAATTATCGGATGTTAATGAAACTTTCAGGAACTATTCACAGATGATCGAAATTATTATAAATATTTTTTTTTTTTTATGAAAGTCATGGTAGAAATATTTTTAAAAATATTTATTACCCCCCCATAACTAATTTTATGAAAACGCTAGAAATTGATCGCATCGGTTTTAGTGATTACAATAATTAAAAGCACAGGGCTTTGAGGAATGCAAATCATGTTTTTTTTTTTTTAATTGGATACCCAGTACCTGAAAATCAGCTCTGAATTGTAACATACAAAACTCAATAAAACAAAAATATATTTAATTTCAAATGCTTTTATTTGCTTTTAGTTGTTTTTATGAATATGGACAATATTTTCTGAAAGCAAAAAAAATTTTTTCGATGAAAAATGAATTTTTAATACAATTATTTGTTATTTCATTAATTATAATAGATTTTACATTTAAGTTGTTAAAATATTATAAAATTAGTTAAAAGCCAACACAGGCTTTCATAAGTGTCCTTATGAGATAGATCTTTTTTTTAGCGTTGTAAATTGTATCATTTTGACTAATCAGAAGATCCCCAGTAATTAAGAAATGTAATTTTGTGTTTATAATCGAGCTGTAATTATAAAATACGGAAGACCAACCAGAATATAATTAAGTTGCGTTATTTGAGTTAAGCATTGTTCTCCGCTGTTAAGGCCTTTACTTTTTGCGAAACACGTGTGGAGAAGTTAATTTGATTTTTCAATTTCAACTGAGAAGGTTACCTACAAGTATCAGTATCATCTTATGAAATTTATATGATCTTATTTTATATTAATCTCAGTTATGACATTTTTCCATAAATGAAATATCAAAATTAATAATAAAATGAATGCAAATACAAATAACATTAGAATGTAATAAATGTACATAAAATTATAGTATTTTATGTACAATTCTGATAAAATTTCATAAGAAAGGTACCTATAAATTAATTAGATACCTTTCTTAAGAAATATGAAATTTAATGTCACTCTTAACAGTTTTATTTTAATTTCTTTAGAATATATTTCCCATAAAGCATCATAAACGTAAAGGTGAAAGCTAAGTACAAAAAAAAAAAAAAAAAAAAAATTAGACTGAAAGTGAAAGTTAAAAATAACGGGGTAAATAATTTGTTCACTTAAATGTAAATTATTTCACTTTTCTCCTTCCGTAGAACAAATTAGCCTCATGGAATTCATAAATATATCATTCATCACATGTCAAGAGACGCGAAAGTTTATGACCTGCTTTGTTTTATTTTCAAATTACATCTTTTTTGGCACAAAAGCTAAGTTAAGTTTGGTTCAAAATATTTTAAATAAACATTATAATTTCTGATTTTCTTAAAATAAGTTTTGAAAAAATGATAATTGATATTTAAAAAAATTTCAAAGTCAGATTTTCAGTTTTTTTTAAAATGGAAAAAAAAATGGTCAATTTTGCTGACTCAAAAAAAAAAAAATAGATTTTTAACGAAAATTTCGGACGTGCTAGGAACGATTAAAAATGGAAAAAAAATACCCCAAAAAATACTTTGACCTTTCCTCTTAATAATAACAAACATTTAGACGATAAAAATTTTTTTTTCGTCAAGTTTAAAATCTTTTTTCATCATGCTATGCTCTTTTTTTTAGCGATCTCGTGGAGGTACCTATCTTAGCCTGTTCAAGAGTTAACTGTTATCTTCCCTCCTATCCATATAAACTATTTAGCATAATGTTTACCTTGAGTAAAACCCCCCATCCCCTGGCCTTGTACAGGGCTAAATCTTTTCTCCAAAAAACAATCAACATTTTCCGATTGCTAAAGCAGGTGATTACTACGTGTATAGTCTTCTGTAGCGAAAATGGCTGAGGCACTTTCAATGAAAAATTGCCTTGAATTGTTTTAGTAGTCCAGCCTACCTTATGATAAGCCATGCCTGATGCAGCCCAATGGTTGGAAAAGGTTGGCATGCCTGATAATATCCATGGAAATTGTAAGCAATTTTGATAATTCATTTTTTTTTTGTTTTTAATGTGAAGCAAAGAGCTAGTCATGTTAGTGAAAGGTTTTTGTTTACTTTTTATAGCATTTGCATTGGCAAAAACGGCAGAATTCCTTCAACAGAGAGCATTGTAGAAGGAAAATGGATGGAACAAGTAAAACTAATAAAAAAGGACTGAGCTTTTTTGTGGGGCTAAGATAGATGTCTATTTCTTAAAGAGGACAATTAGGCAGTGATTGAGTGAAAATAAAAACCCAGATTTCAAATGCTGATTTTCAAGGCACACTTGGAAAATTGCCACAGCACAATTTTCCTAATTTCCATCCAAACATATTTTATTCAGTTAACACATTTTGTGCCACTGTTGTCTCCACCCCCATCCATGGTGACATTCAAGGCAGGATAGTGCAATGACATGCCAGTTCCTTTTGCACTGGAGATGTTGAGGTTACCCCCATCTCTCCTAGGGACTACAAGGCAGCAGGTGGTTTGAATTCAGAGTTTCCTTCTCCTAGACTGATTGCCACCCAAGGCTATAGGACCCAGTCTGTCCTGCTATTTTACCCATAGCTTGGGAGGGAGAAGAGGTGGATTCATACCTTTCCCAAGAGTATTACCACATAAGAGAATGTAATGAACCTGACTGGAATCTGAACTCTGATCTCAGATTCCTCAATCTGAGCTGCTAACCATTTACTTCACTGTACACCCCCACTCACTAAATTAATTTTAGTAAATATCAATATTAATAAAAAAAAGTTAACTTACTTTACTGGAATCATTTACTATGGTGCTGTTGTCAACTTCTGTTTTGACACAGCTGTCTGGAGTCATCGTTGTCTCAGGGGCAATGTCAGTTACTGTGCCAGGAGAAGACACAGGGTTCTCCAGTGATGGTGGAGTGGGATACATCCTTGATAGTTCAGAAGCAGCTGAAAGAAATATTCAAAATACTTGAGTCATTGAACCAATTCACCTTCAAAAGTTTTCATTCTTTCTCTGGCCCAATTAAAGTTAAAGTGTTTGCGACTCCCACCCTCATGATTAAGTGGCAAGAGGCTCATTTCTTTATCTATCAAGACATCTAGAACAGTCTTCAAAAAAAAATAAAAAAATATTGAAAACTATAAAAACACACACACACACACATTTTATATTATATATATATATATATATATATAAATAGATTTAACCAAGTTTTTGCATATATAAAAAAAAAAATGACAAAATAAAAAGTCAATTGATGAGATCCCTCTGACAAGTGGATGGTGTAAAAAACTCTAGAGCCAAGATGCTGAAGATAATACCAATTAGCTAAATAACAAACTTTATATTTGTAAATTATATATATATATATATATATATATATATATATATATATATATATGTGCAAAACAAATTTTTTCCATATGTTTCTGTGTGTGTTTGTACTGAGTATGATGGTAAATTACATCTTGGCAGCAATGCCTCTGATCAAAAAATTGGAGTTTTTTAAATCAATGTGGAACCACCTCTTGTAATTAATATTGTTTTAGATCCACCCAAACCCAAGGTAGTAGAAACACAGAAATTCAATTTCAATTTTTAAATTTTACTTCTGTCTACAATTAAAATTTTTCATGGAGATGTAAAGGTGGTTAATGTTTTGTGGCACAATCATCACACATTTTTAAAAAAAAAAAAAAAAGAAGCAAAATAATTTCATTTTAATATATTATTTTTTTTTATGACCTGACAATAGTGCAAAAGTAAAATTAACATCCACATGAAACTTTTTAGTTGTGAACAGCAGTAAAATTTAAGTACTGTTTTTCCATATGTTTTATATACCTTGCATTGATTTCTGTGCTTGTAGTGTATACAAAAATATATATATATATATATATATATATATATATATATATATAAAGAGAGAGAGAGAGATAGATAGATACACACACTATTGAAATTGGAAAACTTTTTATGTTGATTAATTTTAATGATTATATTTTTTAAATTATGAATAATCCTTCTCAAACAAAGAGGAAATTCTGTCAAGAATTGTCCAAAGTTCATTTTGGAAGAAAAAGTAAGTCATATGGTCTAAGATTTTGACTTTCTTAAGGCATCATCAGGGTAAGTAGGGACAAATTTGTGAGTTTGAAATGGTGTCACAACACAATTTCTTTTTAAAAATAAGCCATTAGTGGCTAATTGTTAGAAGCAACATAAGAATACATTTTTTAATCTAAAGTCATAAAAAGAATGAGTATTTTGATGGAAGAAGAGTGTGACATACTGTCAGGAGAGCTCTATTCACCCACCTACGTCTACCACTCACACTCTTCTGTGACTCCTTCTCACAACTCTACAAGAAGTAGGCTGGGCCTTCACAACAATTTCTTAAAAATGTTTCACCAGGTGGAGAGAAAAGGAATAGGAGAGAGGATTTTTTGATTCAGATTGTGAATTTAATGTCACCAACAATGTATAATGTAAACAATAATGTATCATACAAAGAGATGCTTGATCAACTTCACAAAATCTGACCAAATGACCAAACCATAGATGTTTGTTGTTCTGGTGCAAGGAGGAGGAGGAGGAGAGGATATGCAAACAACTTAGAAAATATCAATAGCATCCATTTAAAAATGGCCAACATTAAAATCTTTTAAATACTGAAGATATTTGGACAGAAAAAAAAATTTATATTGTAACATTTTCTCAAATCTTTTTAAATTAGTGATCTATTTTGCAGATAAAGGTTTATAGTAAGTAATACTGCATAAAATCTGTTGCTTGAAAACAGTTAATAAAATAGATGCAGCAAAATTGAATGTTTATGCTTAACAAAAAACAACTAAATATTACAAATTGATTTTTCAATTTGCTTTCAATATGTTTAATATAATGCAATTTTCTAATGAAGCAATAATTAAAACAAGATTTTTCTAATGTTCTTGCTTAACGGCAATTACTTTACAATGCTTTTCTTAAAAAACATTATATATAGATAGAGAGAGAGAGAGATAGATAGATAGGTAGGTGCCTCCACAAAATTGCTAAAACAAAAAATAGCATACAGTAATGAAAAGTTTTATTGTCAAAATCTTTATTATTAAGAGGAAAGATCAAAGTAATTTTTGAATATTAAATTTTTTACTCCTTTTTAGAACATTTGAAATTTTCATTAAGTCTTATTTTTCTTGCATCAGCAGATATACAAACTATACTGATGAAAAATGAATTTTTACAAGATTTGTTTTCAATTTTTTACAATTTTAAATTGAATAATTTATAAAGTTTGTAAATCCTTTAAAATTCAATTTTCATGGTTAACTCTTAGGAAATACTGTTATTAAGTAAAACTATATTTATTAATCATATTGTAAAGCTTATTACAATTTGATATGCTTGAATATTTTAAAAAGTATTTCAATTTTTTTCATTGTGTTTAAACATCCTATTTTTTCTAAGTATGCTAGTTCATACATAACATTATCATTAAAAGGTCATGTGTTTTAAGGCTTGTCTCCCCCCACCAAACATAAAAAACCCTCAACAAAAATTTATTGTCTGCTAACAATTCTGCTTTAACATACATAACTGTCAACACATTAGGCAGTCAATAAAATGATCAACACATCAGAAAAACAAGACCTTGTGGTTAAGAAATGCTTGTGAGCATCTTATGCTATAAGTAAAATTTGTTTCAGATCAGATTAATTTAACTTAACTTTAAATAATGTTTCAGAAAAAAAAAAAAAAATTTTTTATCAATTCCAATCAATATAATTTCTGTTTGAAATACAGAGCATTTTTGCTTAGTGGAAATAATAAATTTTAATCCTTTAGCTTTCAATTAAAAAAAAAAAAAAAAAAATGAAAAGAAAGATTATTTAATTTTTTTAAATTCATGTGTATCAAATTAGCAGATAATCCAAATTCAGCATTGGCATTTTTCCTTTTTTTTTATAGTCATAATACACTTTTGGTATAATTTTGTCATTTTCAAAAAAAAAAAAAAAAAAAAAAAAAAAAACTGCTTGCACCAATTTTACTGATGGGATAAACAAAAAATATAAAGAAAAATAAAAGAAAAAAAAGCACTACTGACCTATGGTGCCATTGGAAATGATGTTTGATCCCTTACTTCCTTTGTGATTCTCATCACCAGATTTTTGGTTAGGGATCTGTTGATCCTGAAACTCAAGAGAAAATGGATTGTTATAGAATCATACCTCTCAAAGTGAACAGGGAAATGCTCTCTCAAAAATGATGTCAGAAAGAAAATAGTTGAAGACAAAAATCTTTCTATGTGTAGAAAGTCAAATTATTTTGAGAAATTGTTTTCAGCAAAACAATACCTATCAATAAATCACTTATTCTTTTCAAAGATTTGTTTGTTTTTATTAACATTAATGCACGTTTTTATGTGTGTGTGTGTGTATGTGTGTGTGTGTGTGTGTATATATATATATATATATATATATATATATATATATATATATATATATAAAAATAAATAAAATGAGTGTTCCAATAACTTGGACCGATTTTAAATGTGAATTCAGTTTAAGCATCTAATGATTTTTTTCTTTTTCAGATGTAACAACTTAAGTCTTTGGCATTTTCAACCATGGAAAGATTAACAATCAAACGTGTTAAAATTATTAAAGCTTATTACGAAAATGGACGTTCAAATAGAAATGCAATGAGAAGTTCCCAGGTCGCATCATCTCTCAAAACAGCAAAGTCAGTTGGCCACCAGGATTGTGCAACTTGATGCCTTTAGATTTTTTTCCTTTGGGGTCATCTCAAAAGTAAGGTCTATGCGAACAAGCCAACAACAATTCAACAGCTGAAGGATGAGATAAGCCATATTGATGAGATCGAGGTGCAACTATGCAGAGACGTCCACAAAAATTTTGACCATCAAGTGGAGGTGTGTCGCCGAAGCCTTGGCGGACATTTGGGCAATATTATTTTTCCACACATAATTGCCATGACTTAAATAACATGATCCAATAGAAAAATAAATAAATTTTCAATAACATCGATTTATTTACTGTTGACTTTGATCTGTCTTAATGAGACACTCACTTATATATATATATATATATATGTGTGTGTGTATGTATATAGTGTCAAGGGCACCTCGAGGCAGTGTAATGATTAGCAAGCTTGACTCGCTAGAACAATTACGACTGAGTAGTGAGTTCAGTCTTCACTGGGTTCCCCATACCCTTTGGCCTTCTGCTACATTTAAGCTATGCTTGGAAAAATAAATATATATATATATATATATATATAGTATCAATTCTCAATGAGGCATAGCTCAACCTACTACTTAAGTGTCATGCTTTCTTCAGGTGACTACTTAAGTGTTGACCATTTTAATTTACTGCTTAGGTAGCCATTTGCCTTTTAGTCTTTTTATCTTTCTTAGTTTGGAATTTTCTTTTTGTCTAAAGTTTTTTTGTTTGTTTTATAGATCTTTTGCAAGGTAGTCTGTCAGTTGCACCAACATTTTGGGGTTTATATATATATATATATATATATATATATATATATATATATATATGTACACACACACACACAAAGTACTATTTAGAGAACACATGCTTTCACTGAAGTTCTGGCCACTGTATCATAAACAGTAAATGTAAAACAGGGAAACTTCAATCAGAGTATAATACTTACTGTTTCATCACTGCTGTCCTCACTCTCAAAAATATGATCTAGATCCATGGGAGTAGGGAAGAGATCCTTCTCTGTTGTGAGACTGTTGGATACTGGTAAAGAGCAGGAAGCTGGAGGCGATCCAACTGAGGTCATATCTGAAGATAGACAATCAAGTGCATAACAACTGTGGCAATTGCTAGCAAAACAATTATCATTTATGCACTCAAACTGAACCTTACAAATAATCTGTTACAATTAAATATGCAGTTATGTGAAGATTCAGAGGTGCCAACACTGACATTGAGAAATACAAAAAGAAAATTAGAAAAAAGAAAAATGTGTATACACATTCTACTGTTTACATTGTTCAGACTGTCGTCCTCATCTTTGTTATATTCACAACATTTCAGTTGTACGCTCCAGCCTTCTTCAGGTGATAGACATTGGAATTTCAAACTGAAACGTGAATATACCATTAAAACAGTCTGAATAATGTAAATAGTTACAATATCTCATCTGAGAAATAGACACATTCTGTTTATCATGATTGTTTCAGCTTTGCATTTTCACCATCAGTGCCAGTTTTAAAGAATCGTTGTATAAGAAAGATGTGTCAAGTGGCTATCTAATTAGAGAAGAGGTTCCAGGGTTTAGCGAATATCTGGGGTTAGAAAATTGACATGACATTAGGGTCATAGATAAAACTGAACACAATAATGATAATAAATGTATATTTGATGCATACTGATATCAACAAATGTCTGAAGAAAGTTCTTATTACACTATTAAAACCAAATAACATTTAAAATCAAGGAAGTCCTTTTCATTTCTTTTTTATTAATGCCTTTCTTTTGGAGTTTTGCTGCATTAATCTAAACTCAGTAAATATGGTAAATAAATCTAAACTTTCTATCTCTGAGGTTTTATTCTTTTCAGGAGGAGGGGGGAACATTCATCACAGACTCAAAATTAAGTCAATCATTCACTTTTATAAGATTACCATTCATCTGTGCATCAAATATTACTGCCACATGTATCTAAAGATTCTTGACAGAATTAAAAAAGAAAAAGAAAAAAAGAATCTGCAATGTTATTGGTCCTCACCTAGCATTTGCCATAACATAGCACCCCTGTGCCTTTTCTACAAATATTTACATGGTAATTGTTCTGATGAACTTTCATCTTTGGCACCTCAACTTCACAAATCTAAGTGCAGTACTATAGATTGGCAGCTAGGTCTCATCATTTTACTGTTAAAATTGCTAAACAGTAAGTTCTATGCCAACAGTTTCTTCTCTTGTACTACTTGCTTGTAGAATTCTCTTATGACGTCTTCCTTTCCTGTTAAATGATCTTCAAAGATTTAAATACAATGTCAATTGTCATCTTTTGCCTCTTTGAATCTTGGTGTTTTTATGTCCTAGCATTTTCTTTGTTTTGGGCTTTAACATTTAGGTAGTACCTTGTACAAGCACCTCAAAAATATGCTCCAATTTTGTCCGACCTTTTATATTATGGTGTAACGGTTACCCACACAGAAAATGAAATTAGCAAGACGGGTTCAAATTCCAGCCTAGTCTGTTGTGTTCACTTTCATAAAACATTAACACCTTCAGTGTGTCAACCTTATCATAAGAATAATGGGGTTAAGCCCAAAGACTAAATGACATTGCTGAAAAGCAGATATTAGTCACAGTAATGAACAGAGGACAAGATGCAGACAAGGCATGACATTTCAAAAAGAGGTACAATATATATAAAGATTGCTTGGCAATTAACAGTTGGAGAAAATGTTGTCATCTGGCACCTAAACATGTGAAGAACCACTGAAGATTGTTCTTTAGAAATCAGCATGCAAATAGAAAGAATTCTGAAGAATGAAATTCATGGATTTTTTAATTTTTTTCCAATAAAGAGGAAAACAAAAATCACTCACTGTTTCCATTGAGCCTAGAAGCATCTTTTTCTTCTTCCTGCAATACCAGAAATTGTGGAATACAGACTTTGTTAAGGCTACAAGATTATTAATAATATGGATGTGTAAGAGAAAATATATCAGATGGGATCGCCATCATTTAAAATGTCTCATTATTGATTAGATTATGAAGATTTATTTTAAATATTTAATGACATAATATTCTAGCTGTACAAATGCTTTATCCGCAGCTACAAAATATAAGAAACATTAAAAAAATTTGAGGCTGACATGGTTGATTATTGACCAGTGGTCAGTATTTGAAACAATTTCAAATAATGAGGCAGGCAATGACACAACACAGTCTTCCTGAACACAATTTCTCTCTCCATTTAGTGAAGTACCAGAGTTTAGTCCCATAGTAGGCAACTCTCAAGAGACTATAAAGTCTACTAATAATATACTAATAATCCCTGTTGCAGACACCAACTCAGGCTCATTTGTGTTTTGTCAATACCCACATAGCCAACCAGTGGTTTATACTGCAACTATGTTGAGTGAGTTTATGGGGGGAAAAATGCACAATCTGGCATTATGAAGAGTTAACAAGGCCAGTATGGTCAAAGCCTCAGTCACGATGACTTGTGGCTTTATGCCAGCACAAGCATCAATGGCTTCTGAATAGTTTCACCTGCCCAATTTCACTCACGAGGTTTGAGCCAACTCATAGTTGTTTCCAGATACTTCCCAAGAGAGCCACAGGCTTAAATTGTCTCCCTAGGTTGATATTGTCTCTCTAAATTGATATTTAAAATCATCTCCTTGACAAATCAACCATGATGAGATTTGAACGTAGGTCTCCTAGTCAGAGTACCAATGTTCTAACTAGTCAGCCATGCGCTTACAATTTTTTAAAATTATCTAAAATAGCGAAAGCAAGTTTAAGTTTAAATAACATCTTTAGATTTTTTTTTTTTTAACAATTGTTAAAAATGAAAGAAAAAGATTGTATTGCAACTTGGCGGCAGGGTTGCTTTGGAAATGAAACTAACCTTAATAGGTGACGATCGAAAGAGGTCATCACGACTTGTCCGGAAGTTCCTGGCAGGGAGTGTGCCAAAAAGTGAAGATGACTCATCAGTGAACTCATAAGGGTCATGAGGAGGTTGAGATGTGGAAGGTTTCGATGGTTGTTTGTTGGATGATGAGTTTTGGGGATGCTGCGAAAAATGCGAGTTATGCTGCAGTTGCTGTTGCTGCTGAAAATGTTGGCTGTCTTGTCGTGATTCAAACTTTGGCCTTTTCAACCGGTTATCAAACCTGAAATACAAAAACCAAAGTGAAAAGAGCAAGGAGAACAAAAAAAAAAAAAAAAACACAGAGAAAGGCTTACATAAAAAATCAAGATAAATAAAAAGCCTTTAGATTGTCTTTTTGTATATACATTTGCTATTTATAACATTTAAGTGCTCTTTAAAGTTAGTCATTGTAATTATTAAGCTTAGTATGACAAAGGCCATTGTAATGTGTGGGAGAGTGAATAGAACTCACTATAAGAGTAGAGATTTTCCAAGCATAGCTTAGATGTGGCACAAGGCCGAAAATATGGGGCACCCAGTGAGGATCAAACTCACTACTCAGTCATAATTGTTTCAGCGAGACAAGCTTGCTAACCATTACAGCACCTTGAGGAGCCCAAATTGATTTTCTAAGCGTGGCTTAGATGTGGCACAGGGCCGAAATTATGGGGCACCCAGTGAAGCTCAAACTCACTATTCAGTTGTTGTAACGAGACCAGCTCGCTAACCATTACACCATGCCGAGGCGCCCTAACTCACTATAAGAGTAAAGGTTTGCTCATCAATGCTGCAAAGTAAGTTGCCACTTCAATTTGATCATTTACTGCTTTTGTAACATTATCATTATGAAGTATTTGTTGCCGCTTAAGCATATGTCCTACCGATCAGTTTCTGCTTTAGTATATATCCTACCGCCACCTTTGTATTCTACATTATTAAGGCATTGTCCTGACTTTTTTTTTTTTTCAATATATTAAAAGACATTCACAATGTTTTTATTTAAAGGATTCAAATATCTTGTTTTATTATTTTTTAGTTAAATTTCTTATTTTGTAATTTTTTTTATTTTAAATTTTATAATACAACAATAAAAGGCATCCCTCCTTCCATTTTGTTTTTTCCCTTACATTAGATAATATAGGATACAAATATAGTAGTAGGATACATACTAAATTAGCACCAAGTATTTTGTGAATACCCACCCCACCCCACAAGAAAGCATTTTAATATAACTGACCTGATTGTTAATTCGATGGCAAGAAGTTGGTAAGAAATAACAATAAATTGAAGAACTTTCCTTATGGTCAGTTCTGTGTCAATAGTAACATTTACAAAAGTTTAATTATTAGAGCTGTGGATTGAAAAACCAAAAAAGTTGACACTTTAATACTTGCTAACCATATTCTTGCATTAAGCTTATCTGATATGAAACGCAGATCTTCATTTCTTTCTGTCTTTCTTAATTAAAGATTAGTTCTAGTTTGTTAAGCATGGCTTTGGAGAGGAGAAAAGATGATTCTAAATATGATGCTATTTAAAATTATCTGATAAATCATTTGATGCGTTCATGCCTTCAGCCAGAAGTTGAAGGAGATGCACAACAAAATAAATAGACATTAGACTAAGAAACATGAAGGAAAAAAATTCAACTGGCATATATCAAGAAAATATTTCTCTTTAAGAAAAGCAAATAAAAAACCTGTCTAAAGAATTCCAGAACTTACCAATATTCTACATATTTGCAAAGATTAAAAATATTTTTCAAGGCATGTAGGCCAATCCCAAACAATATTCTATGCTATTCAAGTCTGACTTATCAAAAAAAGTAAATTCATCTATTTATTCGGCTTTAAATTTACCATCAAAGTCTAGAATGTCCTGCAAAGTTAGCTAGGCACATGTCTAAATCTGCTCGCCAAAGTACATGAAATTTAATAATGTATTTTTTAGAAAAATCACAAAATAAATCCCTAATTTTTATAAAGCATGGCAACTGCTATGTTGCTCAGGATGTATACCCCTCTATGACCAATTAGCATCGATAGATTCAGTTCTAAACAAATATGTTGAAATAGATCTAACAAGTCTTTGTGGAAAAAATTTCAAAGTTAGAGACGTATTATTGGGAAAAATTGAAAAGGTGACAAATGAAATCATAACTTTTAGATTGAATAGATTGTCTGAAGTATTACCTGGAAATAAACTTTTAAAAATGAATATACAAGTCTGTCTCAATGACTACATTTTAAACATTTAAAGTTTTACTAACAGTAGTATTATCTTTATATTATTTTAATTAGATGAAAGATTGCAAACCATTACTATTTTGACTGGTATTTACTTTTGCCTTTTTATTATGACTAAAACTGCTGGTATATTCAGTCAAGCTTTCCTCAGGCAAAGCAGTTGTCCAGTTAGAATCACATAGGACTCCCCCCCCACCCATTTCTTTGCTGTCTATAAATTGACAATTTGAATAAATATGCAACAAATAATATAAACAAAAGTAAATATTAGTCAAAAAATAAAAGTAAAAGTTTACTTAATCATCATGTACATTTAGAAAATGTAAGAGTAAAATTTTTTTTAACACTTGTAAAGTAGAAACCCATTCGATGAATAAATAACATTCATTTTCTATTTTCAAAAACTGTTCAACTTTATGTTGGGAATTATTTCAAATTTTGAAAAGAATATTATTTTCTTCTGCCTCATTCTATCTTCCGAGACCAATTGTCTCTCGTTTAATACTTTAAACAGTTTTCATTATTTAAACAATCACACATTTTTATGAATTTAGATTAGAAGATTGTGTTGTGTCAATGTCTGTTGGTGAGGAAGGCCTGCTTCCTGGGAGAAATACCAAGGAGGCTAAATTTGCTATCATTTGAAAGAGAAATCAATTTACTTTCATATAAAACTAAATTTTTAATTCTTGATTTCCATTGGCTTTTGAGATATGTCAATTTAATTGCACTATCATATATTCAGATTTTTCAACAATTTAGTCAAGAATCCCAGGGATTTAACAACTGAAATTTTTAAGGGGTGACGGGGTTCAAAATAGCCCAAAATGTTGTAAGTAGTGAAATTTAAAATTTAGTAGCATTGGGATTTTACGAGTAGTCAAATCTAGCAACATTTATATCATAGTACTATAATAAAATTAAAAATTTGCATAGTTGCTGTACACATGAAGGAAATTTTCTATGCAGAAAACATGCTTATCAAGTAAATGCTCATATTCATAACATGAATTTTCACAAATTTTCATATGAAATTTGTGCCTGTTTATAAACAACTTCAATAAGGAGTGAAACTTTATCAGAAAATTTCCAAAGAAAAAAAGAACTTAAAACTGACCATGAGTTTAAGCTTTGAAAATCATACAATGAGTCTGTGACTAGCGTTTGTTCATCTTCTACTTCATTGGTTGGAAGAACAGGTCGTTTGAGGAGCTTCGATTCTCCGTGCCGCTGTTGAGACCTGAGCCAACAGTTAAAATCTGTCTCTGCTTTGAAGTCCTGTTGTTGTTGTTGCTGATGATGATGTTGCTGCTGCTGCTGTTGATGATGAGGCTGCTGAACTTGCTGCTGTTGCTGCAAGGTGGCTGGAGATGGAGCAGCTTCCATCTTGGGACTCAGTTCTGCATTACAATACAAGTCGTTACCATTGAAAAGAATGTTGTTCTGTGATTCACCGATAGATGCTGGCTTGCTGCTACTTCCGCTGCCACCAGCACCGCTTCCTGACGAAGCACCACTGCCACCTCCTCCACTACTATTACCACCACCTCCATTACCTCCTCCTCCACCAATGCTACCACCGCCTCCTCCTCCTCCACCACCACCAATATCTTTGTCAGGTCCAGACTTTTGGGGTGGTGGATGTGGACTCAGGGTAGGCATTGCTGGGTCCATGTTTTGATTGATTAAAGGCTGGTTACGTGATTCTGAGTCTAATGGGGAAGGTGCTGGAGTGGAAGGGGAGTCTACTCCCCCACTGCCATTTGGCTCCACTGTATTGTGAAGTTGAGGCAGACCTGGAGCCACACCACTAGCACCTGAAGATGATGAAGAGGAATTGGGTGGGGGTCTGAATGCCGGATTGGGGGGCATTGGTGGAATCATATCCAGCTCAAAGTGAAAGAGCTCATCATGTTGTGTAGTCCGTCTATGGAAAGCAAGGACACTTCGTGAGTGCCGAGCCATTTGACGCTCTAACTTTTCAGACTTTTCTCCTTTCACGTGTTTATTGCCGGCACATTGTAGTAGGCCCTTGCTGGCAGCCTGAGACCCAGATTTTGACTTGGAATTGCGGTGCCTGAAAGAAAGTAGCAAAAATGGTAAAATATAAAGCAAAATGGTTCACATGTATTCATGTTTTAACAATTTCCATCAAGTATTTTCAAAATATGCAGCAAAAAACTATTTGCACATCAACTACAAAAATTTCAGGTAAACTATCAGATGCTGATGAGTATCAATAGCTAGTGGAAAAGAGGAAACTATACACAGTAAAATCAGCTCATAAAAAAAGGAAAAGTTTTTTGTATATTTATAATGAAGGCAAGAAAAGATGAAAAGACAAGACAAAAAGAAGAAAAAAGTGAAGACAAAAAAAAAAATAAATAAATAAAAAATTCATTATCAAAACTTTGTTTTTTAATGTCATAATATCCTTTCAAATTATATGTGAGCATGGATCTTTACAGATATCTTTTCTTCATCTGTGAAATTGCCATGACTGGTTGCTATTTAAGGCTAGAGTGCCTAGTCTACAGAGTGCCTAGTCTACACTGGACCAAAACTTTAACAATCATTAATATACAAAACAGAATGCTATCATACTGTTGGTGTAATACTTTAAAACAGAACTTTTTCTTCAATAATAATCTCCTTTTTGTTGAAACCTCCTGACGAGTAGAGCAAATGATTATAAAAAGGTTCATCTACAAAACTCTGGAGTCAGGCTGCTGAACATAACATCTATCAGCTAAATGACAAATTCTGGTATTTTTACTTTTGTGTAACACAAAAGTAAAAATACTAGCATTTCTTTCTTTCTTTTCTCCATTATCTCATTCTTTAATGAAGCTTTACTAAAAGTGAAACCTGTTAGATTGATAAACATTTTCTATTTGTTCTTTATCTTGTGTGTGTGTGCTCTAATCAAAGCGGTCGAAAACCGGATTCAGGTTCTGAACTGATGATCTGCTACCATCCAATTTATAAGCGCTGTGTATTCAAATATCAGATCTGTCGTGTTTTATGTGTGTACATTGTGTGTTGTAATTTTTGGGGTTTTTTTTTCCCTGTTTTCTAATGAATGATGAAAACAGTGTCACATTAATCAATAATATAAACTGATTCCTGGAATTGTTGTATTTCACAAAAAGTGTCAATATTATGTTGTCTATATGATAATATAGTTTTAAAGGTATGCTATATTTATAGCACAATATCAGGAATAGAGCATATGTAAATATAGAAGTGGACATTGTATGTGCGTATGTGTGTGGACAGGATGCGATAGGTAAATTGTCACCATTTTATATTTATATTTTCTCACAAGTGAATTGTTTGTTTTTGACTTTGTTGACTGCACAGTATATTAGGGTCAGTTGGGCACTGCTTGTGAGAAAAAGAGTACCATGGCACAATTCACTCCGCCAGAAATTTGGAAATGGCAGGCTGTACTGCTTGGCATTTGTGCCGGAAGCTCCAATACAAACATTTCAGAGTGTTTGGTGTCAATCTGAGGACATTGCAGGAGATTCAGAATGAGTTGGAGGAGTCTAATGGTGATTATGAATGCACAGTAACTGGGAAAACTCACTCTGATCATTCTGATAAGAAAAGAACTCATGAATTTGTTGGTGAGGGCCTCAAACTCAACACTGAAACCTACATCATGCTTTGAGGAGGTAGTACCTGCCCTGGGCCAAGAGGGTGGCTGCTAGATGACCCTATGTCTGACAACAAGCAGGAGAACCTAGCCATGGCTGTCAGACAATTTCTGCAACCACATCACTCCTTACCTCTGGCCACCTAACTCTCCAGACTGCAACCACTGATCATTATGCCTGAGGTGCAGTTGAGTGAGACAGCAACAAACTCTTTGTAACACAAAAGATGAACTGAGAGCAAGGATTATGATGAATTATTCACCAACTTAAAGAGAACTTCCAGAAGTACTGCAGGAGATTCCAAAGTCATCAGGAGGACATGGTTGAAGCCAATGGCAATTTTATTGAATTAATTTAATCTTCTGTATTTAAAGATATTTTTGCTAAATTTTGGTAAATATATTCATTAAACTGAGATGTTAATGTTATTTTCATGTTTGCATAATTTACATGACAATTTAGTCATTGCACCTGTGTGTGTGTGTGTGTGTGTATAAAACTTTTCAATGAGTGCACAGATACTACACTGATCCTGTATTTACTTGCCTCCCTACAGTGGTAGAGTATAACACAAGGTATATTTTTTTATATAGTGTGTCCATGTGTATATATGAGCCAAGGCCCAAAATTACTGGCATCATATCCACTAACCTCCCCTTTAGTGGAATGTGAAAGGGTGCTGCTACATACCTCAAAGTTTTTCCATGAACTACCTGAAGACAGCAATCTGGCAGAAAGGTGAAGAATGGATACTATACTTTCATCCTAAGAAACAAGTACTGGGAACAACAGTACTTTGACTTTTCACAAAAGTGCTGATCTATATGCAAATTCACTTTTTTTTTTTTTAAACAGAATAGTAACATCAAATATTGATTTTTTTTTTAATTTTTAAATATCTTGTTTTTAGATAATATATTATCTTCTGATGAGTACTCAGTAATAATTTAATCTTATTCCATTTTATTTTTCCAATTTAAAAAAAAAAAAAAATTTCACATTTGTGAATTTTGTCTTTTAAAAGGTGACAAAAAACATCCAGCTTTGTGAAGGGAAATGTTGTACTTTTGTTGCTCACAAATGTCCAGGGATGGTGTGTACTAACCTCAACCACCCATACCTTTGGCCAAACCTGATTGTTGGGGAGGGGCACAAGCATTTTTTCTACCTTCATTTTATGTTACAAATTAAACTAAGCACAACTGAATATTATTAAAGGATGAAAATATTTTTATAGAGTTTGATGTCATTCTGGAGTCTTTTTTTTTTATTTATCCAAATCCATGAATTTTTCTTATGCTAAATGGTTAACAAAAATAAAATAAAAAAAATATTATGTTAACAAGAAAATTCTCAAGTTGATTGCCACAAAACATTGTTGATCTATTTTAGATGGAATGATCTATTATAACAAGTCTCTAATTTGTATTTAGATACATTTGTATTTATTTTCAATTTTTCTAGTTAAATTGTTCACCTATATTGCATATAATCCATTATTGTACATAATTAGGTTAGAATAAAATTTGTATTTAATATGAATACTACATTTTTAAAATTGTGGAGGGAGGGTCATGAAACCTGTGCACCAACCCTGCAAATCTAGGCAAAAATGTTAGTTTACTTATTTAATCACTCTCTTATAGAGGACTATTTTTAGGATTTTTTTTTCGGCAGATAATTTGCCCCCACTCAAGATTAACTGATGAAACCTTTAATAATATTCATTGGTTCTTTCAATGAAGAATACTTTAGAAAAGAAACTGAAGTTCAATATTTAGATTGAAGATTTGTTTTTAAAAAAAAAATAAAAAAATTAAACCAGCAATTTCACACTGAGCAATCCGACATTTTTCTACGAACTCAATTATATTTAATCCCCATCTCAAAATATTTGTAAATAACAATGACACACAAATAAATTATAATTAGATTCTTACCACCTTCACTGTCAGTTTTTTTTTTGCATTGATATATGTTGGCCAAGAATAGAAAAGATGACAATGCAGAATTCTAGCCAAACAAAATATCACTTGAAATCAGGACAATCTTGGAAGACAAGGTGCAAATTTAAGAACAAAAATCCACTAAAAACATTTAAGTCCTTTAGCACTGAACATATTAAAAATCAACTTCTTTAATGAAATCCAATTTTAACAAGAAACATTTCTACACTATCTTTTATGTCTTTCTAAATATTACAATGTATTTGTAATATTCTCATCTTTTAAGCCAAGACATAAAAATGTTATCAGAAAAAGAAACAAAAAATGTTTTTTGCATACTGTTCCTGCCACTGTTTCAGATTTAGATTCTTTTCCACAATTTGTTGCTAAAACACTGTAGGTACCAACTTACCTGATGCAATTACAAGTCACTTTTGTGGTGGGATCACCAAAATCCCAGGTAAGTAACATGTCCTCTGGAGAAAGGTCAGCATTTCTGAAGGATAAGAAAACAGAAACACATTTTAATTAAAATTAAGTTGATCAAGTGTGAGAAATATATATATATATATATATATATATATATATATATATATATAAAACAAAACACCCTGTAAAACTAATATCTTCCCAATAACCTTGTTTTTTACAATCTGGGATGAAAAACAACAATGGGGATGAAAAACAACAATGGGGAAGAAAAAAAAATCCCCCTCCATCCCTAGGTGTATGATAATTCAAGAATTCCCTTAATTCAACATTAATAAGTCACAAGTTTAAAAGATTTTGCTCCATAGGGTTATTCTTTATTTGATCCCTGTCAAAATTAACCAAGAGTAGAGAATAATAATTTGCTACTGGTTCGGGAGCTAAGAAATTAGACAGTAAAATGGTTTTTGTTTCATTCTTTTACACATCTGGATAAAATCTATAGAAAAACAGTTTAAAGTTCATGTTTCGTTTGAATACTATTCAGTTTAGAATTCCCTGTAGGTTACCAGGACTGTTATAGACCTGAGGAAGGCCAGAGGGCACAATAGCTGAAACATTGTGATAACAACAACAAAGATAAGGACAATAGTCCAAATATAAATACAGTGGAACCTTGGTTCATGAATTTAATTTGTACCTGAAAGCTGTTCATAACCCGAAATATTTGTAAACCAAAACCGTTTTCCCAATAGGAATCAATGTAGAGAGAAAAAAAGTCACAGTACAATAAAATTGGAAAAGAAAAATACAGCACAACACATGAATGTATGCAACATGGCAGTCAACTCAAAAATTATTCCGTTCATGTTAACTCAGTTCGGCTATGCTGTTTGAGAACTGAAATTTTGTTCTATAACTGAGGCATTTACACCTCAAATTTTCTGTTTGAAAACCGATTTATTTGACGCAAGACGTTCAACAACCGAGGTTCATCTGTAGTGTAAATACTGTTAAATGTGTTTATTTCAACCATAAAAATAGCAAAATTTTCTTATTTTTCTGAATAAATCGAAGACATATTAATGTATTTAGTGTAAAATTATTCTGTACTCACCTTTTGCTCATTCCTGCCATGGTGACACTGTCTTGAGCAACTTTCTCCAATATTCTGAAGGCTAGGGAGTCAGCAGTTTGGTCAAGGAGTCCAATACAGGGCTCCACAGGTCCCGTGGCATATGACAATGAAGGACACAGTTTAAGGGTGCTTCCGGGAAGAAGCTGAGGCTCCCCTGGGGATGTTGGTGGGGTGAGGGGCCCATTTGGAATGACAGGGTGTGGACAAGGAGGACGCTGAATTTGTGGGACTGGTGCAGTGGACAGGGTAGATGCTGCAACTGTAAGTGTGGGTTCCTCCTCACAAGTGAAGATGAAGGCTGATGGATAACGCATACGTGTACCAGCTAAAAAGAGAAAGGCCACAGTAAATTATGACAAACAATAATCAATAGGTTTACAAACATTCCGCATTTATATTTTTTTAAAGCAAAGCAGTTAGGTTCTGTTTTATAATTGGCTTGGCCACTGTTAATTAGGTACACACTTAAATCTTTTTTTTTTTTTTTTAAATTATACACAAAACAATTATATTTCCAAAACACCAATGACAAAATTAATCTTAAGTTCCTTTTACACAAATTCTTGGAGTACTTTCTTTACCCAGTAATAGTAATCTTCCTGTCTGTTTGCCGTGTGCCTGGCCAACATTAGCCAAGTCATATAATCATTCATTATCAACATATGTTGTAAATGATAACTTTCACTTGAAAATAATATAACAATTGTATATTAAAAGTATATCTACCTAGGTTTGAACCAATTTGACAAAAATGCAGTTAAATTTTTTTTTTTTTTTTACAAAGTAATGATTTCATTTGAAGAATTAAATGAATGATCTTGGTTAATTGATTTACCTTATCAACCCCTTGTGAGTTATTTAAAGCTGAAACATATTTTGAATAACATTTTTTTTTTGTCAATATTGCATTAAGCTTGTTTTTGGAAATAATTTATCCAGATACAAATCCTACTATAATCCATGGGAGGGAGAACAGATTGATTCATACTATTCCCAAGAGTATTTGCATGTAAGTGACTGTAACAAACCAGACTGAAATTTGAACTCTACTCTCTGATTTCTCATTCCAAGCCACTATTACACCACCTGCTGCACATCCAAATGAAGAATGTACCCCCAGAAAAGTTACAAAGTTGTGACATTAAATTTAACAAATGTTCATTTTGCTTGAAGTAGGGTCTCTGTCAAGAGTAACAATGGGTGTGACAATATTTTTAAACTACTACTACAACTTGAACTGGTAAAAAAAGAATGGTTTGCCCAAGTATTTACTCATACACTCTTCTTTATCAACCATCATAACATGCTACTTGTTAAGGTATGAATCCATCTCTCCTTGCAAGCTATCCTAACAGAGTTTAGGGAAACTTGTGTTCATGTCTATTCCAAGAGCATTACTGTGAAGGAAGATGAACAATCTTAATCAGAAATTGAACTTTCAGATCCCATGGTGAAGCAAATTAATCTTAAGATAAATGAACAATACTACTTTCATCTAGACACAACTAATAAATTCAGACCAAAACAGACATTTTCAACCTTTGACACAAAATTGAAGCTTATTTTTTAACTAATCAAAATGTTTTCTTTTTATAAAGTTTCTTGAAATTTCCGAGTTTAATTAAAAATAAAATGAAAATACTAACTAAAAAAAAAACAAAAAAAACTATATCAACTCTAAAGACAATCCAGTTTCTTTCTGAAAACTTTAAAATGTTGAAACAGTTAATTCGTTGGTAAAATAATAAAATATTTGCAAAATGTGGCATTGTTTTTTAAAAGAATTCTGGAATTTCGAAAATATGTATTCATCTATTTTATTCAAAGTCTGCTTTAAAAACCAGATTTTTTTTTTGGTAGTAATTCAAATACATCTATTAATTATTGCATAAAATATGTCAAACACAGTATATCAAATGTAGTTTTTTTTTTTTTTTCAAAATACGTTTACAAAATGAACTGATTAGAAAATTTAAAAACTAAACACCAAATGTCAAATTCAATGTTTACTTTTTTAGTACAAACAATTATTTTAGCTTTACAGCTGTTTTGTTTATAAAATTGATGAATATTGTAAGATTAGATTCTTATTCTGATGAACAATGCAACCATTAAAACTTTTCTTGAAAAATTCATATAAGTTTTTTCCTTAACCGTTTAATGAACAATTAACGTTTTTTTTTTTGTTTGTTTTTTTTTAATATATAATTTGGTTCTTTAATTACTGGTAATTGCGGAAAACTATCGTTTTATTTTTCATGTCCTTCGGTTAGGTTTTGGGGTTGGGGTGAAAAAAACATTGGTGTTCATTTCAGTCAAAGATATCTATATTTCATATGAATAATTTTTAGTTGAATTTTAATTAAGAAGAAAAGCTCGATTACGCTATATAGTTTTTTTTTTACAGTGATATGCAAGTTCTGTTTTGAAAACATTTTAAAGTTAGAAGAAAATGACTGCAAACTTTTTCCAATAAAATAAAATTATCTAAAAAAAATCCTAATTTTTAATCAGGTTTATTTTTAGATTTTAAGTTCAAACAAAAATGTGTTTTAGCATTATAAAAGTTTGTTTTCTTTTATTAAAGAAAAAAAAAATTCATGGCTTAAAAAATGTGTCAAAGATAAAATGATCTACAGTTTTTATTTAGACAATAGAGTCAATGTCTTTTTATGATCACATGAACGGCCCAAATCATTTTAATTGCCTTTTTTTATGTCATATATCGATATATATACAAAATAAAAACTGAACTAAACTCAGTAATATTTTAACACTCGCTTATCGATACGTTTGTTTGCTTATGGAGAGATTTTTACCTTAGCCATTATTATTTGAAAGTCTGGAAGACAGCTAAGCAAAATAAGAAAAAAAAATGAAAAAAAAGAAATCAGAAGCATTACAATGGATTTTTATTTAATGTTGTAAATAAAAGCTCATGTAATTTAAGAGGTAAATAAATAAATACAAAAATACTAAATTTTAGTAGTCAGAATAAAATAGCGTATTTATTTTAAATGTTTCGTAATTAAAATAGATTTTTTTTTTTAAAATAAGAAAAAAGAAAGACGACGACGAAGGAGACTAAAGTGCTGGTTTTTAGTTGTTTCTGGTGTTTGGCTTGTAAAAACATGTCTGCCTGTGTCCGGATATGAAAGGCATTCTGGGAAATGAGTGAGTGACAAGATGGACGACCAAAGAGTCGCATGGCCCAATATTCAAAAGTATCGAGCCTTTAAAGTCAGGCGCAAAACATTATTTTTCTTTACTATGTGACGATTATATATGGAATTTGAAACGCAATAGAGTTTTAAAAGTTATTTCGGTATTTTAACGTAAATCTTTCTCAGAAACAGTAAATAAATTTCATTCAAGCGCTTCAAAAAGATACAAATTTTCGGCCAGAGGGGGAAATAAACTACGTTGGCAAAAGTGATTACATTTTTTATCTTCGAGGAAAAAAAAAAAAAAAGCAGAGAGAAAGATTTTCGCCTGTCTTTCTTTAAAAAAAAATAAAAAATCGTTGTTTTTAACTGGCAGTAATTTGTTACCGTACGTACTCGGATTGCTACTTTACACAAAAATAGAGGGGGAAAAAAGTTGTTATTCTTGAAATAACTCCAATTTATATTAATTTAATAAATTAATTTAATTTTTCAATGGATAAAAATGAGTGAAAAAAAGGAAGATTGGCAACGTTCTCTAGCGATGTAGTAGTATAAGCAGTAATAGTAGTAGTACTAGTAGCTATCGGCATACGCTGACTATGGTTGAATTATATTAAAAAAAAAAAGTATCTTTAAAAAAATAAATAAGAAAATGTTGAAACGTTAGAGAATTTAGTCTTTAATAAGAATCTATGCTAATAACTGTTGATCCCCAAAATTTGATTATCTGAATGCTTGAAATGCTTAAAAAAAAAAAAGTACACGCCGCTTTCAAGTACTTTAGTCCTTTTAGGTTAATCACTTAGAAGAAGAAGAAGAGGAGGAGGAGGCAACGGTAAATGATCGACTTCGGACAACATATTGATACAAAATTTACTTTATTATGGTGACTTGTTTTTTGTGATGGTACAGTTAAATCAATGAAATAAAGACGAGGGCCGGGATTCTGGTGACGATAGCGAAATAATAAAGAAAGAATGATGTCGGGAAGTGAATGGTGGCTGGGTTGTCGGCCTGGTTTGTTTGTCATGCTGATGAGTGTCGCTGATGGCGTCATTGGGTGCCACACTCGACGGACGGACGGACGGACGGGGGTAGAGAAGAGGTGGCAGTATTTTCCCGTGACCCACTTTCACAGTCAGTAGTGAACTTAACGGCAACGAATTTTTCATCCCCACCACCAACTCGTAATGTTTTTTTAGTTATTATTATTATTTTTTTTTAAACGATCACATTTTTTGTTTGTTACTACTTCTACTACAAAGGTAAGGGGGTCGTGATTACGAAGAGGATGGTACCTTTGAACACACACACACACACACACACACACACACACACACACTCGCACGTTGAGTAACTGCGAGATAAGATGGATTTCAAACTCTTCTTCCTTTTGGCGCTGATATGTGCCAATCTTATTGATTTCTTAGCAGGGCAGAAAAGATGGAGGGGGGGGTAAACAGCGAGTGGGAGGAACAAACACGAGGATTGTATAGGCGGAGGCGGAGGTAGTTGATGAGTCGACAAACGGTAAGCATCACCATGAACGGTAGCGGAAGGTTTGGTTGGGGATGATGAGAAGGCACGGTTGTAGCCAATGGCTGAGTACAGCTACTGTGTGCACATCAATTGTTATTGCCAACAATTAGCCAGATCATGGCACTGAACTATCTAAAGCCTCGACCGGTCAGTGTTACAGACGGGCAGGCAAATTGGGCAATGGGTGAAGGGGAGAAGAAATTAAACGGGTAGAAAGACTACTTGGGGAGGGGAACACGCGGGACCAACTCTTTGGCTCTTGTCATTTTTATTTCTAACAAAAGGAATTTTAAAATTTACGAATGACTTAACGGCAAATAAATAAAAACTTAACTCGACACAATTAAGAATAGTAACAAACGATTTTAAAAGTTGTTCTGATTTTGTGAGTCACCTTTCTTTCAAAAGAACTGATTTAAAAAAAAAGAAAAGAAAAAAAAAGTTAAAACATAAAAGGAAAACAAAAAAGACAGACTACACGATATGGTACAATGACACCATTGGGATCTACGAGGCCTTAACCCGCTACCATCGCCCAACCCCGCCCAAATTGTTTTTATCTGTCCATACTTGCTAATGATCAAATAAGACTATCATAATTATCTATTAAAAAAAACAA